ATCACTTTTTTTAACAAGTGACTAGTGACCAGTGGCGTATATAGGGGGGAGGCCCCCTAGGCCAGAGCCCATAGTGAAATTGTAGGTTTAATTAAAGTATTTCTTGTATATTTACACTGTTAACAGTTTTTCACCATGATTAAGTTAGCCGGTTGATTAAAATCATTTTTGAGTAATCTACAAGGAAATGTTAGATATATTGACGAGACTTGCTTTAATGACTTATTGACTTTGATGTTAAATTCATAGTAAGATAACATTAAAATATACAAACGACACTGTCAATACTTTTAAAAAAAGAAACAAAATATTAATTTTACATAATAATTATAAAATTGAATTGCGCAATTTTTATTTGAACTGTATAATATGTCATAATTCTTAATTATATAACAGCTGCTCCCTTAAAAATGTATTATTATGGCTATGCTGCTTGACTAGTGATAATTGATAAATCGGCCCATAGTGAAAATAATTCGTATATACGCCACTGCTAGTGACAAACTGACAACTACCATGTTGGCACGTCTTGGCATGGCTTAATGCATGTTGTCATGTTGCTGTGAAATAAGCACAATAATTTGAACATTGATTTATATATTAGGTATTTAGGTACAAGTGTATAACATGATGGTATAGTGTTATGTCTCTGAATTATGATTATTGATTTTAAAGTTTAAACCATTATTCAATAATATGTTATAATAACACTAGTCAATACGAAAGTCACTAATATAAATATTAAAAATATTAAACAGTATACAAATTACAAATAAAAATAAATAAATGTAGGTACCTACCTACTGTTATCGAGATTTTTCATAAAATAATCATACAAATTGTCAAATGTATAAATATAATTCAATAATACTTTTACATAACTTTGGTTTATCAATCATAAATTCATAACCCATTCAATTGGGTAATAAATCCATGACGTGGATGATTCTGTATTGCTATCATCGATAATCATATATTTTGAGTAAAACCAAAGAACCTATTTTGAGTATTTTCCAATCTATTATTATGTGTGTAATATATAAATGTATATATTAAATTCAGGGGGAAACGTCGGTACTGTTAAAACCTCAGGGGGGGAGGGGTCGTCCGAATACCACAGTTTGTAGGCATACGCTCTGCCGCGCTAGGTATTCTACCTAAAAGTCCGGCGAACAAAAGTCCAGTAAAAAAAGACCCGCGAAAAAAAGTCCGATCTAGTAAAAGTCCGGTTTATTTATATATACATATTTATTTATAGATATATATTTATACAAGTATACATTTTTAAACTTAAATCAATATTATAGGTAGGCACAATAAAAATAAAAATATTACTAAATATTATTAAAAATAAAATACACAAAAATAAAATTGTATGTCGTACAACAAAACATTAATGTTATTTAAAATAATAGCAATAATTTATAATACAATTATTACATTTGAATTCAGAATGAAAAATCTATATCCTTAGCCTTTTACCTTGGTTTTGTCCTAATACTATGTCCCACTTGAGTTAAAAACTCTTCAACACTTAGCTCGGAGTTATGAATTCGCTTGCATAATGTTTCAAGCCTGATGTTTTTTTGATTCATTTTTGATTTTTTCATGGTTTGTCCTGTACTGCTTAATGCTATTTTTGCCCTATCGGCTCCAATCTCTAACTTGATTTTTTTAATTAGCACCCATATTGTTGGATGACTGACCTACCAAGTGTGTGAAGCGGTTGTTCCATGCTTCACATATATTATTAGTTCTGTGTTCACTATTTAATATGGCAATTTAATCCATTCCTTCGTGCACCCGTTCAAGGGGTAGGAATGCCAAACTATCAATCATCGAACAAAAATGACTAAACTTGTCATCATTCATATACATGTTTTGTAAACCTAAATCCTGGATTTTGCGAAATGTACTTTGGCATATATGATAAAATCACCCTCTTATTTCTAATTCCGAACCAAAAATATTACTAGCCGCTGTAATTACTGCTTTTTCGAAATCGACATGCAGAAACCTGGGGTCAGGAAACAAATTTTTCTCTTCGCATTTTTCAATAATTATTTTAAACATTGTTTCATAAATTGAAGTTGTCTTACGCTCTAACAAACAATATTATACAGCAGTAATAAAAAAATCATTTTTTGGGACTCTTATAAAGTATAATTGCATAAAATACTCAGGACTGAGATTAAAATTTCCGTCACAATACCAATTACTTGCCTCTGCTATAAAATACGAAGTCCTTCATCCACAGCGAAAATGATAACTCTTTCGTGGTTTAAATCCATGTTGTCGAATAATGAAAGTGGTTTTTCTTCATATAATGACCAATCGCCTAAAATACAAATTAAATAATATCATTAATATTTCAAATGACTAATAAAACAACTACATAAAAAAATATTTATTACTTGATAAATTTTAAATGTTAACGTAATATCGCTTTAATAAAAGAAAAAAAAATGATAAAAAATATTTAAAAATATAATTTTTTAATAAAAACATTGGCCTTTTAACAACTTGAAAAAACGATGTAACTATGTAAAAAAATATTTTCAAAAACATTATTAATTTTTGAAATAATGAGTGTTCAATGATAAAAGAATCACCCGGTATAATAAAAAACGAATATTTCTAATGACTATAAATAGTTTAAAATTAGTGAAATATTTACCTTCAATTTTCAAATCTTCCAAGCAAGTAGGTTTAGGAGGATTTAAATTGCTACATTGCTTTTGAATAACACGCTTAACAGAATTTTCATTAGGTATATTCATTAAAATTTTATCCGGAAAACCACTAACCGCCTCGGCAAAAATCTGACTTGGTTTATCGCTAGATATTTTAGCACGATTTTTTATTTTGTGTTTAAATTTTTCTACTTCTAATGTAGTATGATTGCCAGCATGATTATGTTCTATAACTAATTTTGCTTTAGAAATGTCTTTCGATGTACATAATACTGCAGGACACTTGTATTTCTTCTTCAAGCTATTATTTCCATCGTATACTGTTGGTCAATTTATGTTGAATCGTATACGAGAATCCAACGTACACTATTTTATTTATAGTATCACGTTTCGTTTTAAATTTAAATATTTCACTCATTTTCACAAGATTTGGATTTAAAGACAATAATAAAAACGTTGAATTTCACAAAATGTACAGTTACAGCGTTTACGATACAAAACATCGACTGAGCATTTGGTAAAATAACCAGGTTAAGTAAAGATAATTTGTAATAAATTTGTTATATATTATCTATAACATATAGGTAATAAAGATTAGATTCCTATAATGGCTAACACTGAAAGATGAAAGTATTAGGTGCCCCAACTTAAAAAAATTTCCAACAAACGATAAACTAAACCGATGATAAATAAACCGGACTTTTGTTTGTCGGACTTTTTTCGCGGGTCTTTTTTTTCCGGACTTTTGTTCGTGGATTCATTTTGGTTACCTATTGTCATATCGAATTTCAATAAGCAATTTGTAAACATGGAACCTCTCTGTACTTTGATATGAAAAAATCAAGATGAAGTTTAAATTATAATAATACACCTGCGAATTCGTATTATTATATGCAGTTTCTATGGCAATTGCCAAAATCGTCACAAGGCGAAAACGATTTATGATTCTAAAATTTCAATTAATAAATCGGATATGAACAGAAAGCTTACTGAGTTCCTTTCTAATTCATAAATTATTGATAAATCACGATATTGTAAGTTCAGGTACGCTGTAGAGCTTAATTAATTACGTGTGCGGTGGTTAATTTCATGTGTACACTCTAACGTGTTCAAATTGAATTTCATATTAAATTTTCATAGCTGTTACAAGTCATCCAAAAATTGAGGTGACTTGTAACACGTACTTATTATTTTTTTTTTAAGTCCAATTTTAGTCAAAAAACTAAATGAAAGGTCTTATCTTATTCATAAGATGTGTGTATTTTTTGTAACCCAATGCCATTTTTCTTAAGCTCGGTATACTAAGAAGTAGGTCAAAATCGTTTCAAGTCACCTCGATTGACGGTATTGAAGATTTTTGGGCAAATCATGTTTTGGAAAAGTACATGAACTGTAAAACACCGGCCGTAAAATTAGCTACCACGTTTGGCTCCACAAACATACGTGAAACTTCATTCTCCAAAATGAAATTTTTAAAAAATTAATATCGTTCAAGATTGAATATCCACCTTGAAAACACTGCGCATTAGTTGATCCCCAAGGGCAAGAGGGAAGAGTAACAATTTTTAAAAAAACTGGCTCTATACAAGTAATATAATTTTTCTCATTAAACTTTTAAGAATAAAATTGTTATTATTAGTATGAATACCTAATGACCTTATAAGTAATTAAACATTGAATAATTTGTCTTAAAATGTGATTTTAAAACAAACATAATACATAAATACATTAATTATAATTATTAAGTTTATGCTCGAATTTTTTTTCAAATTTTCTGGACCGCCATAGAAATTAATTGCCAACTCCTGTATTAGACCATGATTATTTTTAATAAATTATGCTTGAAATTGGAACACAAATATTTATTTAAGTGAGAGCTGAATTAAACTTTTTTTTTTTGGTCTGCCATCATTACAATTTTAAGAAGTAGGAAATGTATTTGAATAAACCTTGTCGTTTTGGGATTAAAATTATAGCTGTTATTAAAATAGTTAAAATTAATATTTAATTGTTAACATTCCTAAATACTTTATACACAACATGGTCAATGTAATCAGTTTGTTGTGTGTAGTCTGTATTTCCTTAATAAAAAACAAATACAAACTGTTAGTATTGTAGAGTACCATACTTCAATATTAATTGTAATCATATCGATGAATAAAATTTAAAATTGTAAGATTACTAAGTTGCTCAAATACTAATTTATATTAGAAATCCATAACAGGATTAAATTACATCATATAAATGGATTAAATTATAAAATCTCATTTAAAAATCATCTAGGATATCGTAGAATACAACGCAAAATTAAAAATATTAAATTGAATCCTTTTTTATTCAGAAAAATCAAATATAATATCCATTTTACAAGAAACTGGTTGTTGGGCGTCGGATAGAGAATGTGTTATAACGACGACGTTTTCCTTCAACACGGTGAGGTAGAGGGAAACGAATATCACTGTCGTGGAATTGTTTCACATGTGGTCTTCTGGTGTTCTTAGCCTTCACAACTTCCACTTTAATGATCTGGAAACAATTATGCATCTCATGAAAACTTGAATAAAAGTAAAATAAATAAATAGCAACTTGTGTCTTATATTATACAATTTATACCCCGGATAGCCAACCTAGAATATATTTTAAGTGTTTCAATTTTTTACTCAGATTTTATAGCACTTGAAACTACTAAAATATTCACTATACATGACCTAAATAACCTGAAAATAACTATGATTATAATATAAAATGATAAGAAAATAGCAACACAAAAACAAAATTTTTTCTTTTAACAATTAAAAAAATGCATAATAATCATTCAGGATTTAATAATGAATTAAAAAAAAAAACTTGACTGGTGTCTGATATAACCAATAAGGAGTAATAAATGTATAATACTGTCTGACAGGCCCAAAAGTCGGGCTATATAAAATACTCATGAAATGAAAATGTTAAGATTTTTCAATTCTAGTCAAAAAAACATTTTTTAAACCATTTCAATTTACATTATGAAAAACACAAAATAAAACAAAAGAAGTGCATGTATACAAAAAATAGCATCTAAATAGAGAAATAGCACAACAAAACTAAGATTCTAAAAAAATTTGCAGTATACTATTTTAGACTCGAAGTGTGTAGGGAAAGAATGCATTGTATTAAAAATGTGTTTTTTTAGTCCATCAAAACTTGTGTTAGTAAAAATGTGCAAATTTTGACATAAACATATTTTCCGGCAGAAAAGTGAATCTAGTAGGTGTTTTAAGGGTCAAAGTTGAAAATTCCTGGCAGTTTACAAAAGTATCAATGAAAACAAAAAAAATAGTAAATTGAATAGGTATAATAATTTAACTCTTTAAAAACGAATAAGAATTTTCAGAAGTATTAAATATTCAATTAACCAACAGAAAAATATGAAGTTTAATACCAAATATTAAAATAAATAAGTTGAGGAATAATTACTCTGTCCAGCAAGAGAACACGCCGGTTTTAAGCATTCCTCCGCGTGACCACGTATAAAAAAAACTGGTTCACCTATGGTAGGGTGACACTTGGGGGAACCAGATTTGGTCAGTGCGCGGCGCATTCTCTAGCTGGACAGTTTAACTGGAGAGTGATCATTTTGATTTAGAATAAAAATAAGTAACTAATCGGTATAATAATTTATAAATTCTGATTAGTACTCATTATCTATACGTACATGATTTTTAATAAAGAAACTAAGCAAAACTATTTAAAATCTAGAATTAAACTATAAAATTTAATTTAATAATCATAAAAAACAAATACCTGGATAGCATGAGCCCTGGCTCTATGTCTAGCACCCATATCTCTGTAGCATTTAGTGACAGCACTAGCTACAGTGGTGTCTCTGTATTCACGGTACATGTTGTGTGTGCCTGATCTTGAATCGTAACGTAACCACACTCCAAAGTTCTTAATTTTGGTTGGAGATTTATCGGTAACCTAAAAAAACCAATAAGAATTAAGTAAATTTATAATTACAATTTAATACATCCAGCAGACGCCATATTCAAAAAAATATTTACTTGTTTCAATGACACAATTTCTCCTGTGCTTTTTTTGAACTTCTTAAGTTGTCTTAAGAAATACCAAAATCTAGATTTGGCAACAATGCGATCTGGAGCGAAAATCCTCATCTTATATAAAGGTGTAGTCTTCTCCTTTTCGGTCGGCAACTTGCGTCCGATGACCTCATATTCTTTCAACTACAAGGAAACGAAACAGATTAAAATTAAATACAATCCGCATTTATGTATAATTTCACTCCAATGCCACATGTCATGTGATTTTGAATACTTCATTATTTAATCAATTGGGTACAACAATTTCATAGGTACCTGAGGTTTAACATCTATGGCAAAATACTAAATATTTTAAATAGGTAACTAAAAACGTGAAAATACTTACATCTCCTTTGGCTTTCATTTTGAATTTGATCTCTTCCTAAAAATCAAATGAGGAAAATGTAACTAGAGAAAAAATTTTAAGAGAAATGAGAGAGCACCAAACATAACCCCAAAGCAGATCGAATAATTTTTTAATGTTCTATTCCAGTTGACACGGCACGGTCGTGGAATAATAAATCCAACCTGACCATGTGCAGCCGGCCGCAGCAGTCGGGGCTATACGACAATTCACGTTTTTATATATAGCTACACTGTGCAGTTTAATAAAAATGTATTATTGTTATTATTATTATTCATTGGCCGTGAGTCTGTAAAGAGATAAGAACTTTATTAATAATTTTAGACGACAATACAAGTTTTTACGTTTCAACTGTATATATGATAGTAATAATAATAATGAATCATTAACCAAAACATTCGTTTTTCGTTATGTGTTGGCAGATAGTGATTGAAAAAAATATCAGTCTCGAAGGTCGTGACGTTAAACGTGTATGACTATGACTGCGACTTGTCGGAGTAAAATATTATGATTGTTCGGTTACCCAAAAATAAAGCGGTAATTATAACGTTTCAAGATGGCCAATTGGACTGCTTTCACTTCCGACAGCTGTATGTGGTTTTTATTTTCGTTTATTCCGTTTTTTATGTCATTCTTATGAAAGAATTTTTTTATGTTTCAGCACCCAAGGTGCCAAATCGTCCCGCTCCCCCGCCTCCCAAAGTGAACAAGCCTTTGTAAGTTGGAAAGTGCTTCCTGTGTTTTCAAATAATCAAAAAATGGCAACATTATAATATTTACTATTATTATTATTATTTGTTTAGAACTCAATCGAGATTAGCAAAAGCACTATCATTGAAACAGTCAAAATCACTCAATGGTTTCCAACAACCAGTAAAGAAGAAACCTCCACCTAGACCACCTCCTCCTAAGTTTGCACAAACACCCAAAAGTCAAGTAATACATAAATAATATTTAATTCTTTTACTTTTAAGCATAATATTGTAATTTGTTGTTAGGTCTTTCATTAAAATATAAATCATCGTCAAAAAAAAGGTATAAAGTTATACTAAATTGTAGATAGTAAATAGTAGATATCCCGCCCCTCTTGAATTAAGTTGCCTACCCAACTTAAGCTTTCATTTCCTTTTTCAAGTATGAAATTAATTAATTTAGTTATAAAAAAAATTGTAGATTATTTTTTCCTCAACTATTTTCACCACCAACTATTATTTTATAAAATAATTTAAATTGTTTACATTATCCTAAATTAACTAGATGAACTCTATTTAAAAAAATTAAGTATAACTTATACACCCTTTTTTAACAATTACTTCATTTTCAGGGAAAAGCTGGTTTGTCATCTTTAATTGGATTTAAAACAAAGCATACTGTTCCAACGCCCTCTTGGGTTGCAAAACCCAATGAAATCCCTAAGTCTTCAAGTACTTCTCAGATGGTGGGTTGTCTTATAGACTTTGGTTCACCTGAAACTTCTCCCACATCTACTCATAAGTTTGTGTTTTATTTTATACAATTAACCATGATTGAATAATTAATAAGACAATTATTTTCATAGATCTAGTAGTGATGGAAATAGTGTTGATAGCTTTAACAGTGATTTTGGGCCATGGAAAGGTTCTCAGGCTGAAAGCAGTGGTTTTGAAGATGATTTTGATTTATTATGTTCAAATGCAGATATGGATTATTTCAAAAACCGTTTTTCAATTGAAAGTTCATTACCGCCACCTTCATTACCTCCACCAATGTTACCACCAGATGCCCTAAATGTATTATTAAATGGTCCTAAATTACCTCCAAGACCAAATGAGATGGTAAGTCCAATGTTTAAACCAATAGATAATATTTGATTATTGTTGTAAATTCATTCATCAATGATTGTGCCTATTTTATTTTAAAATATTCTTAAAATGAAATATATATGAGTGTGAAGCTTTCAACCTTGAATGAATATGTAAATACTAAAGTATTATTGGTCTGACCAATTATCACTCGATAATTTACATTTTTATCTTAATAGACAGGATTGTATACTTATTTTATCGTTTTAAAATATTTTTGTAAATCATTCTACTCATGATAAAATTGTCAGACTTATTATGATTCTACTAAAAAAGATATTATTTCATTTAACATATCATATGTCAAGTCAAATATGTATATTATTAAAAGCATACTAATTATAATTAGCCACATTGCTTAATTCTAAAAAAAGTTTTATTAAATACCAATCACTACATTATTAGGTGTATATATTAATTTATATTATATTATTAACCATCTTAATTTTAAAACTAAAATTTAATGTGCCCATTGTGATCATAAATATATAGTGCATTTTGATGATATTTGTAATTTGTTATAATTTATTAATATTCTAGCAAACTCAACTATCAAAATCGCAGCCTAAGTGTATTGCTCAATTTGATTACATGTCTGGTCATGTAGATGATCTTAACTTTAAGGTAATTTTTTAACTATCTATATAATAATACTCTTATGTATTTTAAATTTTAATATTTATTTTAATCTTAGAAAGGAGATGAAATATTTATAACACGATGTGTCAATGACGAATGGTTAGAAGGTACATTGAATGAGCGCATTGGAATGTTTCCCATTAGTTATGTTGAAGTAACTGAACCATTACCCAAAGAATCTCCAACCAATCAAGAAATCCGCAAAGTAATAGCTGTGTTTGCATTCAAACCAGAATGCTGGGAAGATCTAAGTATACAGGTAATGAATATTATAAATTTATACTGAGCATTTTCTAATAATTATTAATATTTAAAACTAATTTCTAACTATTATTTAGGAAGGCGATCAAATTCAAGTATTAAGAAGAATCAATGAAAATTGGTTGTATGGAGAATGTAATGGATCTAAGGGTCAGTTCCCATCAAATTTTGTCACTGAACTACCTGATGATTTATAGCAAGCGTATTGTGATATTAAAATAAAATACATATTATACATATTTACCAAATTTATTAATTTTAATACCTATTTTTTTTATCTTATATATTTAGTAAAGTAATAACTTGTGATGTTAAAATGATATAAAATATGATACTAAATATTAATGAGCATATATGAAATCAAAATGTAACTGAACAATCTTTAATGCTCAATTTATTAAACAAACAGGGTATTATTATTTTACTTATTCATTAACTTTGCTTAATTTGTTATACCGATATTTTTTTATATTGTTATGGTATTCATATTTCAATAAAAATGTAAATTGTAATTATGTTGATATTTAGGTTCATATATTTTGTCCATAATATGCCTAAATGCCATTATTAGTTGTATTATACACATTTTTTTATATAAATTTATTATATTATATTCTCTGATAGTTATGTTTTACAGTTTTTATTAAATTATTCATTTTAAATTTAAATAAACAAATATTATGAATTATTATTCTTCATCAATAATTTTACTCAAATTCTAATATCTAGAAGTTTATTTATACATACCACTGTCATTAACATTAGTTGTGTTTTATTATTGTTAAGCCTCTCATCAGTATAATATTTCTAAATTTCTAAACATGTTATATGAAAATGCCATGGAAGTAATAAGGCAACTCATTACTTTCATATTTTACATACTTAACATTATAGCAAAGGTGAGTTGATAGGTTATACACCGTTAAAAACGTAATATAACATGAAGAACAGATGTATTATACTTAGTACCTATACTCGAAAGACAAAAATTTATCACAGCAACCCTGCCTTGAACCTCAATGACGTTAGGAATTGTATTTTTTCTTCGTTAACCTACTCCAGTATTCTCAATATTATAGTGTCATTAAATTAATTTAATAACAAAATACTTATAATCTGGTACACACATTTCTACACTCTTAAGTCCAACCACTATACTGACCCTGACTGGTATATCGTTTAAAAATTACCCAACTGTAATAAACCTAACCCCAGCCAGTCCTTTCTGTTACACTTTGTTTATATCTTCCAACTGAACCTATAAAATATACTATACAATAAACAATAACTGGCATGTGTATAAGCTCGTTTACAAACAACATTTATTGAAAAGAATATTTACACCACAATTAAAAACAATTTGATTATACATATATTAACATTAAAATATTTATTTATGCACAAATTAATCACTTGGAACTAACATACTTGATCCTTTGGAAGCATGTACATTGGATACTTAATTAATACAACTGATAATATAAAAAAAAATATATAGGTAAATCTTAATATATCTTATACAATTAAAACCAAACAATAAAAAGTTTATTTTCAATTATAAACTAACGTTTATACCAAATAAAAATACAAATTTATGTGATGCTGTCATGAAATTTACTTAAACATATATAATTTATTTTAAGTACTAAGTTTAAGTGTACAACATGATATTATTTTTTTGTTCAAGTAATTGACTTAAAATTATATATTAAAAGTCTAAAAGTTATCAAATAACTTTTAAAAAAAATAAACAGGTCAGATTCTTCTAAGGACGAGATAAACATATAACTTTTAATATTAAGTACCCGTCCAGGTATCACACAAATTGATATCACATTAAATCATAATTTTTAAATTAAGTATTGAGGGTATAAGACATAGACATATCTTTATTTTAATCAACGATTGTTGAAAGTATTATGTAATCATACATTTAAAAATTAATGTAATATACATACAACTAATTTAGTTTCACATAGTCATAAATCCATTTTATTTTACGATATTGAGCAAGTTTGGATGACTGATAAATAACTCCAAAAATTAAAATTGATAAGAATACATTCAAAATTCTATAAACTACCTGGTAAAAAGATAATTGGTTTAATTGGTTTGTGCCATGCAAATTAATAACTAACCAATATTCTATCTTTAAACAGATAAAAATAAACAAAATGTAAACATTTGCATTACATTTTACCTAATCTGGTTTATAAATTGGGATTTTCGGAATAAACTCCACCAAAAGTACCTGTAAGAAAATACAAATACAATAAATGACATTGCATAATAAATTAAGTTTAAGAAGGGATACATTTTAGATATTTCAAACCATTTTACTTCAAATTTATAATTTTTTTTTATAATAATTAAATTATATAAACATTTGAAAATTGTTCAGTCAGTGATCCTCATTATAAATATTTCAAATAAACTCAAGTCAACTTATATTAAAAATAGGTAAAATAGGTGATCACTCTGCTGTACAGTAGGTTTTGAGTGCGCCTCTTCATTGAGTAAGTCACTATAATGTAACCTTTGTGTTAAATTTGAATTCAATGATAAATCATTACAATTAAATAATTAATTTTACTCTTAAAATATGGTAGGTTGAATTAATTATTGGAAATCTTTGTTCAAATATCTAACTTTGTCCAAATTTGAACGATGTCTGTAGAAAGTGCTAATATGTTGTAATACATTTTTTTGTTTTAGAATAAAATATTAACAAGGAACCTAGAATTAAATTTTCAAACCTAAATCTGAATCTTAGCAGTCTTACCTATAAAAACTAAGCATTTTATATATTTTAAATTACAAAGTTATTTGCACAATTTCGTGATTTTAACAAAATTTGAACTAATGATTATAAAAAAAAGATTGTATAAATATAATTTATTTAAAAATTATTAATAACAATTTATGAGGAACCACAAAACAGCTAAAAGCTAGTAATTAATACTTTTGTAAATAGTGTAATTCTAATTCCTATATAAAAAATATATTGAGGTAAGTATTATCAGTATAGCAAAATACAAAATAGTAAAATATATGCATATTCATTTTTTTAATAAATAATTTACACCTTTCACACTTATTTTTGGAGTACTGAACTTTACAAAAAAATGATTCAAATATACAGGAAGTCTAAAGAATTCAATAACTTATGTGTTCTAAAGAAACTTAGTCAATAATTTTGTTTGTGAGGTGCTTTTTTTTATATAAAATAACCACTGCATGTATAAAATAATTTGCTTAAAAATTTTAGTCCAGCCTACAAGAGAACATTAATGTTTCACATTCTGATGACAGTGACCGACACCGATATTATTAGTATGTTAGATTATGTTGAATGAGGAGGGCCACATTTTGATATGGACATGGTACATGAACCAGAGGATAATACAAAATTTTATAACATCAATCATAAAGCTTAAATATTTAAATAAAATTATATAAGGCTTTAAAAACTTACATATTCCGTAATAGAAGAAGTATCTACTCTTTGTTTGTTTAATCTCCAATGCAAACCAATTTTATTATAAAGATGATTATTTTCCCAATCAAGTAATTTGTTCAAACTATGCTGAGTCTAAAATTAAAGTTTATAAATTGATATGATAACATACATTTTATAGTTAAAAACATAGAATTTAAAATATTATATTAATTAAGATTAATTACCCGTTTGCTGAGGCAAATAACAGGCCAAAGTGAACAACCAAGAGTACAGCAGCAACACATACATCCACAAAACAACCATTTAGCATTCATTGGTAAACTTTTCTTTAAAACAGAATTGATTCGTGCCATTGTCTCTTCAAATTCTTCAGGGGCCACACGTGATACAAGTGCACTTGGAAATTCTGATTGGAATCTGCTACTCAGTCCAAAACTATAATATATATAAAGATATTATTTTTACTTATAAATCAATCACTGATATATCAATATACAGCCATACAAGGTGATCAATTTAACTAAGACACTTGAATATTATATTAATGTGTGTGTCTTATATTAAATTGATCATTCCGTATACACGTTTAAACAATACTACCTATCTATGTTATTTTCATTTCACCATTAAAATAAATTTTCTAAAATAACTACTTGTATTCTGCAGGAAAAATAAAAAAAGAATACAGAAATTATAAACAATAAAATACAGATAACGGGTAACACTCTGCTGTACATTAGATGTGTTTACTCTATAGAGCGTCACTGTAATGGATGTATTAAATTTGAATTCAATGATATAAAATCATAGTATACAAAAAAACGATTCTGAGGCTAATATATTACAAATTATATTTCATGATACTTTTGTGATTAAATTTAATTATTTTACTATTCGGCATTAGTACTACAGTAGGTTAAATTCATTTTTTGACGAAAAAAATTGCATTTGAAAATATCATGGTGTGTTTAAAATATAATAATAGTCATAATTGTTTGATGTATTTTCTAAACCAATATAAACATGCAGAGAAAATGTAATGTATCTATTATTATTTCTTTTAATTATACTAAAAAAACAAAATCAAATTTATTTGAAACTGCTTTTCCATAAAAATTTGTTGTCTATTTTTCTTGAAGCTTTTTAAAAATACTCGGAATTTTAAACTCCAAAGGTTAATCATGGTAAAATCAATACATTTATCACTTCGCTCAGAATCTAAAAGAAGAGATAATTTCTGCTTATAAAACTTATATCAATGTCAGCTAAAAATGTACTCATCGTAGTCAAAAATTAAAATTTTATGAAATTACACAAGGTAGTAGTTTATTTATTTATCTACATTTTAAAGGAAAATATGAAAGACTATGTGTATACTTATGATTTAATTATTATTCAACTATTTGTCACGACTTTTATTTAATAAATGTACAGTCACAGTGTACAATAGTTTATTTTAAATCATATCCTATGGTAAAAACAGACATAGTCATTTTAATGAGATACATATTTAATTAGTTTTATTATTTACTATTTAATATATTAACATGTTTTTTTTTATATTAACTTTAAGTTAATGTATGACCTTTAACATTATGCTACACATTTGCATATAATTTTATATTTATCAATTGCATCCCGGTCTAATCAGATAAGATAACATAATACCTTAGACTATATGCTAGTATATTATGAATTAAGCATAACACACTAAATATTAACATCAAAATAAAGATTAAAAATACTAGATAATACCAAAATTATTATACAATAGCAGTTTATAACGTTATAGTACAAATATTATACTAGTTATAGCAATGGCTTAGATTTAAATGCACTTAAAAGGCATTTATAAACTTATAAGCAGAGATTTCCTTAAAAATATTCCCAGGATATGATAGCAGATTTCTTCAGAAATCAAGATAAATTTGTGAATTGTTTTATTTAAGAACCAGATTACCTTATGATGTTTTAGTACAATACCTATGTATATTCATTTTTTAGTAATATTACTGGAAATACATTAAAAATGCCACAAAAAGTTTGTTAGCATAGTGTGTACTTGAAACACATTTGTATCTTGGAAACAGGGTAGGACTAGGCCACTGGGACATCAGGAATTTTTCCAGTGGGCCATAGCAAGAGGCTGTACCGCCACAGCAATGATCTTGATAAAAGAAAAATTATTTCAATTGTTTTTTTATGGAATTTCTATCAATTGAAATTGATAGAAAAATCGAAAAACATATATAGTAGTGGCTGGTCAAAAAATAGAATTTCCTGGTATGTATTTTGGAGCTAATCCAACCCTGCTTAAAAAGCTTCATGTCAAACTTCCAGCAAAAAAATTTACCAATAACTAATGTATTATTAAAATTAAAAAATAGTAATTAATGATCAAAATCTTTAAATCATATTAAATATATTGTGAAAGAAATTTGTTTGTCCAGACCTGTATAAAAAAAACCACAATTTTCGAGTCTTTAAAAGTCTTTTTTATAATACCAAATTAAAATTCTTTAATTGATTGAACATCACAGCTCAAGGTCGATGGACAAAGTGAAAATTCAGTGGTATTCTTTAAGAGATGTATGCAGCATCAGACAAAACTAGCCAATGGCTGAAAAAATTGTACATTTTTATATGATGACGAAGACAAAGAATTAGCACAACATTATCACTTTAATTGTATAAAGTAGTTGTTATTCATATTGTATTTGTGTTTACTTTAAGGCCATACAAAAAAAAATTATACCAAATTTATGCGTATGCAATGTACATTATTTTAATTTTAAGATCCAAATTTGAGCAACATTAATAATTAATAATTGGAAAAAATACCCACACAAATATTGTTCTCTTTTACTTAGCTATGGTACCTACATAGCTACATGTTGGCTATATTGCAATAATTAGACAATTAGTTTTTTATTTGATACACATAAATTATTTATTCAAAGACACCAGGCTCTTTGCTTTTACCTCTATTTTATATTTTAAAGATATCTTTATTATTGTAATTAAAATGTTAATACATACATAGGTAATTAAAGGATAAAATGTGAAAATACACGGTGATTCATCAGTGTATGGCCATTTAAAAGTTAGACATCATATTATAGCATGTAGTTAATGCAATTAATCATTTAATTAATTAACCTACTAATAAATATTACACTATACCCACTAAAATATTTCATAAACTATTTTCAAGCTTATCTTTTCTTTTTTTGTTACGCATGAATTTTGTTTCAACTCATGAAAATCCAAAATTTTTTTTGTTTACATTTAGGGTAGCTATTAAAAGGGTTATTCAAAACTTAAAAAATAGGTGATTTGAATTTTAACAGTTTAGTACCAACTTTTGATAATGATCAAATTGTCTTCATTAAGGAATATAAATTTAAAATTTTCAACCTACACACAATTTTTATCACTCAGGATAGTTATTTTAAAGATAAAATAAATTAATAAAACTGCAATCGACGAGATTGCGCAACAAACTTTTGAATGAACATGACAAAAAGTGAACACTATTGAACCCAGAAAATGTCATTACTTACACAGTGAGATTCCCAATTCCTCTGATTAGTATCGGGTCTTGAACATGCATTAGGTACGCTTCGTCCATAGACGTGCATGCAATCTCTTCATCGTACTGCTGTATGTCGTCGAATACAGCCATGACATTTGTGATGGTATCCGCTGAATGAACAATAATTGATTTTTTTTTAATGTAATGTTTAGAAGAGCAGCTGTAATCACTCATCACTCAACGTGATTTGGGGAATGGGAATAAGCACAGATTGCAAGGACATCCAGCCGAGTACCCGTTGAATGTCGGTGAATTGGACATTTTATTATCAGACCCACCAAATTTTCTGAAATGGGACAAACGGCCTGGATATCTTACTATTTATGACCTATATTTGCTGTATCCTTACAGAGTATTAACAAACAATAGTTGCAAAACAAAATATTTATGATAGCACTTACCCAGAGATCTAGCGTGATATAAATTATTATTTGTAGATCGTGTCGATCGCCGTGTTTTCGGCGAGAACGGTCTACCGCACCAAAAGCCAACGACAGACGAAACCAAAAATAAGACAGCACGAATAGGAAATTTATGTAAATTGTAAGTCGGCAGAATTATTATTGCAGTCGGATTTAGATATTTAATGTTATTTATTAATTATTACTATTATTGTTCTTCGTCGTACATCAAATAACAACAGCACTACGCCACTACAGCAGCAGAAATTAATTATGTCATTGTGATTTCGAGCGCAAAAATAATAATATTTATTATTTTGTTTTTGTTTTCTCGTTGTGTTGGCAATAACGACCGTGCTACCATAGAACAATTTACTGGTGCTAGTGTGCTACTACCACAACTGCGTGATATCATTTATTTTATCGCTATCTCACGATATCTAGAAATTTGCAATTATCGACAAAAATGTAAATATTAATAAATAATAGCCAATAGTCTATTACTCACCTTTATTGGCTATATTATGTTTAGGTTTATTGTGACTGTACATTTTATGGTGATTTAGTTTATTTTACTGATTTGATTTGTTCTACACTTCCAAGTTCTAGTCTAATCCCTTCCCTCCGGAGTAATAGATGCATTAGTGTAAGGACACCAGACGTGTACGTGCATATACGTACCTACGATGGAAGAAGACAAAGACAAGTCGCCGGAAGACAATATCCCTTTGGCAGACGATGACCCTCAAGGTATGTTTCGAACGGTAGATTTGCTAATAGTTACTACTTCGGTCAAGCATTAACGTTTACTTCAATTTTAAATTATGATCACAGCCATTATCCATGATGACCAAGACATATCTCAATGTTCCGATGTCATTGTACGCAATCAAAGTATGGATTCATTACAGTCATCATTTACAAACGGTAGTAATAGTCCAAGCAGAAACAGTGAGTGTTCTATGTACATTATAATTTGTTTGTATTTCACCAGAAAAATACTGTTTCCTAAACATTAGTCCAGTATTTTAATTTAACTATATCGGCTACAGCCAAACAAAGTATGTTATTATTTAAATCATTGACATATTGGTAAATTTACTTTTATACATCATTGAGACACGGTAGAGTAGGATACTCGGCTATATCATTATATATCTATAATTCTCTTCATTATACTAAAAATGAGTAATTGATATCAGTCAGATTAGTGTCCTGGAATTTAATTTTGAATATATAATCTTTGCTTAAAAATATTCAACTTATAGTAGATTGTCTAAAACTCAATTAATGCTAAAAAATAAAACTATTTATACTACACTATCAGCCTAAGTATTTATATGCATGCTGTTTTTATAGGTTTAGATCGTGATATGAGTCCTGATGAATTAGAAGAAAAAGCCAGACTTATTACACAAGTCTTAGAACTACAAAACACATTAGATGGTGAACATATTTTATATATATATAACTACATTGCATCTTATTTAAAATTAAAATAAGTACATAATTAAGGTTATTGAACATAAAATAAATTTTTAGATTTATCTCAACGTGTGGATAGTGTAAAAGAAGAAAATTTGAAACTACGATCTGAAAATCAAGTTCTTGGCCAATATATTGAAAATCTGATGTCTGCGTCTAGTGTGTTCCAGACTACTTCACCAAGAGTGAAAAAGAAATGAAAAATAGATTATTATTTTTATTTGCTGCCATACAAAAATGCAAATTAATTTAACCTTAATGCATACAATACGCACAAAGCTTTCTCGTCATAGATTTGAACTCTTTCTACTTTAACCTTGAATCTATACAACAAACTGATTTTAAAAGTTATTAATTTATTGTCACTATTTACTATATAAAATCTAAGTTAACATTTTTTTAATTTTTAATACAGTTATACTAGACTCTGTTTGTTGAAACTAATAATTTATTGAACAAGTTAATTTTTTATCTTATTCTCATTATATCTACTTAAGGAGAATAATTTACAAAAAAAAAAAAATGTATAAAGTGTTTCTATCTTATTTATGTTTTATTTTGAATTATTTTAAGTTATAACACATTCCATTCATACTTATATTGTATGTTCAATATATTGATATGAAAATAATTTTATTTTTTTATGATTTCCCATTATGTACAAACAGCATAAGCTATTAAAAATAAAGTATGTATCTCATTATCAGTATTTAATTAATATTATTTAAATGTAGGTGTTTACTCAACATTTTAGATTATTGCTTTAGTTTTTAATGTTAATTTATTATAATTGTTATTACCTGAAATTATAGAAGTCTAGATTTAAATTTAAACATCTTATATTTGATATTGTCTAATTTTACCATGATATACTGATAACTATAATACTCTGTTCCCAAAGATGACAATCTGTATTTACATTTTACGTATCGTGAATGGGCGATTTGCACATTAAGAACCACTTAATAATGCTGACACCAATTAAGCGGTGGGGGATGCACAGTACTGGATAAGTATTGCTATGGAAACTGCTAATTCTCTTTTGAAAAAATAATACAAAAATACAGAAAAAATAATCCAATGCATTTTTTCTATTTTATAAAAATTGTATTTATTTATTTTAATAACATAATGAGGAATCTTAAATCTTAAAGTAAAGATACTGACTAGTTTAATAAGACTTAAAGTAATAAGTAATAACATATACTAGCCTAGCCTGTATTGTATTGGCTTTGAAAAGCTTCAACTACTTCATAATAAATAACTATTATTGTTTAATATTATTTTCATATTATAAATGTATAAAATAATGTGATACAAGTATGTGTGCTAACTGCTAAATAAAATACGATTTCACTAAAAAATAAATGATGAATTTCAAAAAAAAAATTAAATCATATATATATATATTTTTTTTTTATTAAGATATTCACAATCTGTACTTTTTAGTACAATAAGTGTATGTGATGAAAGAAAAAAAAATATAAATAAAAACCCACCCATTATTGGCACTTGACTAGGGATATAGTAATATATTGGATAATATAGTATTTATATATTAATATTTCATCAAATGCCTATATATAAATTGTATTCGACAATATTATTATTGTATTATATAAAATGTAAGAATGTAGCATGAATAATACCTATACAACAATTGTTAAAAAATGTGTAGCATGTTGTCCTCTTTTAGTTGTTGGACCTAATTTTATTTTACCATTTTTTTTTATAGCTACATACCATTTTTTTCGTTGATATTTTAAAGATAGGTATGCACTGTAAGGACCCTCTGGTTGTTCAATGAAAATTGTTGAATTGTTGTTCGGATCAGCCTAAAAATAAATTTGAAATTAAAAATAAAACTATTAAATACTCAAATTCTTACTTCTCCATAAAGAAGTCCATCTTTATTCATAGCTAAAAACAAATTGGCTTCAACTCCTCTAATACGAACATGACCAGGAGACATTGATGTGAATTCCATTACACAGTGACTGTCTATGTCATCATCGGAACTGGATACTTTTCCGTTTTCAAGTATTAAAATACAATACCCATGCCTGCAGTTTAGTTTCATCCTGCGGCCATAATGTTTAATCACACGTGTGTCGAGAATTACAGATTTTTGGTTCTTCTGAGAAGAATGATCATTTGACACATGTGCATTGCTCAACAAGTGACTAACATAAATCAGACAATTCAAATAATTTATTAATTTTTTATAATGTCAGTAGTAAGTGTATTAACCTCTTGGAAGCTGCAACATCGTATGTTGTTGTTAGAGATGTTGTTTCTTCTTCTTGGTCCATGAAAAGTGTGTTAAAAATAAAATAAAATTACTGTGATACCAGAAAACTGTGGTTTTTTAACAAAATTGTTATTAACAAAATCAGATACTTCCAAGTACACAGCAGGATTAACTGAAAAAAAAAAATAACCACCTACACATCTAATGTCTATATTATATATTATGTTTATATACAATAAGTCATAAGAGGCAATGCTGCAATAGCCAATGACGCATGTGTGGGTTTGATGTGGGCTGACCACTAACAATCTAAAATTAAGTTTGTATTTTTACCTTTAACCCCTCCATAACATATTATACATAATGTACTTTCTAGGATATTATAGCCTATAGTACAACTATATGAATATATTATATGATCAAATAATTTAATATACAAATTTTTTTATGGATTAAATAAAGATATAAAGTGAGTAGGTAGTTATATCTATGAATAAAACATAGTTACGTAGATATATATGCATAAAAATTGTTTTTATTATTTAGATTTTAAACCAATCTTCAGTTTAGGAAAATTAATATATAACATAACCCATGGGGCATGGACATTGAATACACATAGGTAGTTAAAAAATTAAAGATTCATACAGTTCATATTTCCCCAGATTTTTTGCTATGTACTCAATAGGTACCAACTATTAGAATTTGGAGGGCTATATCATTATACCAAAACATCCAAAAATATAATTAGGTATAATAGTTAACATAACTCCAGAAAAAAGTCTCTTAAGTATCTAGGGACTAGGTACTTTTTATGGAATAAAAATTCAGTTTATACCAGTTCATTAGTCTAAAAGGTAGCTAATCCTGTACATGTTTTTATTAAAGCTAATTTGTGCTTACAATAGGGCATACAAATTTAAGGTACCTACCATTATAAGTAATCTAACATAGGTACATAAAATTCAAAATTTTTAATCTACCAAGTTCTGAATTTTAACAAAAGCACTCACTTTACACTTATATAATACTTTCCACAAATCTTAGGCACATTCAATTTAGACTTACACATCATATTCGATTATCCTTCCTTATATTCAGTGGTATTCCCATCAAATGTATTAAGGGTATACCCAGTGGCAGCGTGAATAGCTATTTTATGAAGCAACTGCCTCATGCAAAAATGGGGGTGGGTAGTGGGTATCCCAATGACTCAAGTCTCCAAGACCTAGATGGCTAGACTAGCCTTTAATTTATACTCGCATAGTTACATATTACGTATGATCTAAGTTTAAAATGTGTGAAAAAATTTGTGTGTGGGTGTGTACCTACTTATTTGAGGTAGTTGCTTCATAGGAAAAAGGTTTATGCCGCCACTGGGTAGAACACAATTTTAACCCTTATTTTAACAATTTCAATGAAAAATTGTAGGGTAATAGATATTAGATAGTACTAGGGTGCTAAAAACAAGACAGATCTATATGTCCTTACCTACATTAAGTTCTAGACTACGACCTTGGTATAATAAGGTTCGAGGGAGGAGTTTGATAACAAAACAATTTTTATAATTTTTATTTGTTTCAAAAAAAAAATGTCAGTATAAATAATTATAGTATCAAATCAACTAATATAGTATACTTTTTATTGGTTTTCAATAAAGACACAAATCACCTAGGTACTGCAAATACAATAGATATTTGTTCAAAAACTAATGAGCCTCGAAAATATATGCAGACACACAGTAGGTACCTGTACTCAGTATAGTTTAGTATACTGTATATCTGCAAATACGACATACTCATGATTTTTAAAACAAAAAGAGTGTTTATGGCGTGAGTCTACGACCTTCCCCACCGATTCATTGGACGTTTCACCCACAATATGATTTAATTAATTTACATATATTTATATAATTCAAATTCGAACGTCATAATAATACTAATACAAAATTCACTAACATAGATACAAAATTAAATAATGAAAATCAAAAAACCTAACTAATATTTTTTTTTTGTGGAAGATAGCACACAGAACTTTAAAAATTCAAAAATATCTCGTTTGAAAAACTCGCATAACTTTTTAAACATAATAACCCAAAATTTTGCGGAAAGCTCCTGTTTTATAATTAACAATTTTTAATATAGATGCACATGTAGAGTTATTCCTCTACAGAGCTTCAATAAAAAATCAAGTACTTGGATGGTTGATCAACGGACTAGTGTAGACATAGACATGGGCGCCCATTTGGGGGGGGGGGGTAGCACAGGGCACTTCCCCCCATCCCCTGGAAAAAATATTATAAACTTGTAGCTCAATAAATATTACCACAATGTTACCTTATTACCGACATTTTTTATTTTGACCCCCCCTAAAATGTTACCTATGGGCGCTCATGGACATAGACAGTGTAGTACATTTATTATTCCACACTTTCAAAGTATAATTTGTTCTACCTATACTAGTTTAAGTTATAAAATATATAAATATATATATTGATTCAGGGGGGGGGGCACGACCACAAGAGCTCATGTACGTAAAGGGCCTATAGTATTCTAGGCTTAAAGCTACATTGAGTGGTAATCTCTAATTTTAATAGTACCTACCAGATATCCTTTTTTTTGTTTTGAATTGACTGACGTAGAGACCCGTCACCCGCCCACCATGTTCACAGCTACAGCAATGATAAGTCTAGACACATGGTATCAAAATTTGATGGAATCGATATACCTACTCAAGATGTTTGAATGGATACTTGAGTTGAATACTATTAATATTTTCCCTAACATTCTTATTGCTCTAAGAATAGGTTTATCTTATTAATGGTAAGCCATTCCTGTACGGCTGTACCTAATTGTAGTGTGGAAAGAGCATTTTCGAAGTTGGCCAAAATTAAAAATAAAAATAGATCTTCACAAACACGAGATAATCCGTCATCATTCATGATTTTGTCTACAGAAAATTAAGACATTTTATACAAAATGTAAGCTTTGATGAAAATTGTGTATCTATATACTGCGCCACTGCGGTGATATTCTTTTTGTTACATCAAAAAAAAAAAAAATTAATTTAGTTAAAACTTAAATGCAGATTTTGCGTAAAATTTCCTGTTCCTTTCATTGTTTGTGTTCCCAGCTTTTTTGAAAAATACCGTAAATTATCTATTTAGACCTCTCAAATACACCAACTAGATATCCCTTTTCCAGTTTTCCATCAGAAAAAAAGAAATACTGAAGTTGAAAAATTGAAGAATTATCCCGAATACATCGAAAACATATTGTACAGACTATACAGACACAAAATAAAACATACATCATTGTACATGCATCAATACATTTATATTCAAAAATATCTATATATATAATATAATGAATGTTACCTAATAGCATAGACCAATAGTTAATATTTATTACTGCTAACATTGATTAAATACAAATCAATGCTGCTAATAAGTAATAGTTCAGTAAAAGCAAAAAGCTATATATAAAAGCTGTTATTCTAATTTATTTGTCAATAGGGAAAGACAGATAGTGTTATACTAGAATAACAGTTTATAGTAGTACACCAGATGCCAGTACCTGTATTTAATATTTATATAATTATTTGTATAGAAGTACAATAAGTATTTACAGTCAATTTACTTATATAGTAGTATAGTACTATAGTCTATAATTATATTTATAACTCATTTACTCATAATGCATTAATTGTGCAATCTAGTGACTACTTAGTACCCTTCGACAATCGCATTCAACACATTCTCTCATACATGAATGAAAAATAATAATGACATACTATCATAGAACATTAGAACCTATCAGCTGACCTCGCCCCCCCTCACAAACAAATGAATTTTGAATGTTATCACACAATGAACCTTTACACTGATAATGCATAAAATATTATGAATAATGTGAATGCATAATAATATATTACTACACGTCTACATTACTACATTATATATTATTATTTTCTAGTTAGTATTGTCACTCGATACGTTTCCAACTAGAACCTAGAGTTATTACTTTATAAGGTACATTATAGTTTCTTTTTTTTATATACATATTAGATATATATATTTTACATAATGAAAGTACTCTTAATTGGCTGTGGTCTAACCTCTACAATAACAGCCTACTTGTTACGTACCCGTATACCAAATATTCATTTGACACTATGGGACAAAGCCAGAGGCCCAGGTGGCCGCACTTCAGTCCGTCGAGGTCCCAACGGTACATTTGTCGACCTTGGTGCTCAATTCATTACCACTGATGCATCAACATTATCAAAATACTCTGATATATACGAACCACTAATTTCCACAAAAACATTGACACCTATGAATTGCAAAATCGAAGGGATAGCAGAATCAGACCACAAGCAGCACTTTATTGCACCAAACGGTGCTAACTCATTAGTAAAATATTTTTTGGATTATGCTAATATAGACTGCACCAAATTTGAAAAAAGAGTTTGTGCAATCACACCTACAGGTAAAGTGACATGTATTTGTGGAAACGAAGAGACATTTGATTTAATAGTTATAACAGCACCAGTACCACAAATTCTTCAAATGAATTGTCCAATGTCTCAAACGGTTCGGAATGAACTTGAAAAAGTTAACTACAGTACTCGTTTTACTTATAATATGTTTTATGAAAAACCTGTACTAAAAACAGAGTGGGATGTAAAATTTATGGATGATGAAACATTCAGATATGTTTCTATAGATAATAGAAAACGAGAACAATATAATTCACCAGACTGTGTTATTTTCCATACAACCAAGGAATTTGGACAAAAACATATAAAGGAAACCACAGAAAGTATGTTTCAAATGTTAAATGATAAAGTAAACAAATTATTTCCAGACTGGCCATTACCTGCATCATGCAATGTTCATAAATGGTTATATTCACAAGTCACAACTCCTTATAACAACAGTCCTGGGTGTGTTTTACTAAATGAATCCATTCCAATTTTAGCTGGTGGAGATGGTTTCACCCAGTCAACATTCAATGGTTGTATAGAATCGGCATTTAAAATTTGTGAAACTGTAGAAAATTTAAGGTCATAAACATGTATACTTTTTTGTATTATTATATTTAATAACAAAAGGAAGCATTTGAAGGTTATTATTAAAAATAATTATTTGTTGAAGCGATGTTTTTTTTTTTTTAATCTAATTTGTAGAATCATCATCATCATCTATATTCAATTCATCTAAGTCATCATCCAGATCATCCAGATCTTCATCCACAAAAAGGTTTTCATTGATTGGTATCGTAGCAACATCAGAATCATTAAATCGACCTTCGGGTAACCGGGTACCAGTATCATCTACTTCACTTGCTTCCAATTCTAATGTTTCTAATTTAATTTCTCTAACCTATAAAAATTATAAATTACATATTATTAAAGAGAATAGTTAATAATATATTTAAGTGTACTTATAAATGTTCCAAACATACTCATTTCGTGGGTTTTATAATTAATTAATTTTCAAGGTTAAAATCTTTTATGTGTGAAATACCATAAAAAAATTGATAATGCGTCGCCACAAAGTACATCAACAGTCTTTAATATAAAAAATTCTATACTTTCTTATATCTTACAGGCAGGCAAGTCTAGAATGTCTGCACTATTTAGGGAAAAGGATAAGTACTTTCTATGATATTAGAAATTTAATTTTTCTATATTAGAATTATACTGCTATATTTTCTGCTTGTTGTTATAATGTTTGTTAAGTTTCAAGTGTACCTATGCCAGTATCTATAAAAAAAACATTTCTAACTTATTTTAAAATATCGATAACATTTTTTTATCAGAATATACTAGCATTTAATTTTTACTATAAAAAACACATCATTAATCAAGTAAAATGTGGCAATTATCAATAAATTACAGTTAAAGGTACATTGGGGAATTGTCATATTTATTTTTGTGTTTATTTACTTATGTGTGAGAATGAAATATTTATTGTATACTACTAATAGTATACAATAAATTGATATTATTGACTATATTTTGAAAATTGTTTTATGGTAAATAAAATATAATTGTCTAGAGTCGGGCAATAAGAAAAAAGTATGTTTCACGAAATTATATTAATTATATCTAAAATGTAATAATACCAAGTTAAATCAATTCAGTAAAAATAAGTACAAAACTATATTTATGAATTGACAAACTGAATTATTGTATATTTATCTATTTTATAGATTGTACATTATAATAGATATATTACTCTTATTTCTCTGAATTAGGTTATTAAAGTACTAAAAATATTTTAGTATGTTTTTTTAATGGTTTGTACAATATTTAATTTACAACTTACTTTAACATTTCCATCTACTTCTTCATCTTCATCACGTATATAAGCATCAAATGCTTCTTCTCCGTCATCCATTGAGTCACCAATCGCCATCTCAGGATTAAATGAGAACATTTCACGACCAGAAAGCTAAGGAATCATAAATTATACATTTGATCACAAAAAAATAAAAATTACAAACCCCAATTTGTCTTCCAGCTTTATAGTCTGTTCGTTTCTTTTCTTCATCTTTAATAATTGCATCTTTCTTTTCCCTAACTTTACGTTTTTTCCAAGCTAAAAAGCTTTCTAAGGTCACTCTAGTAAATTTAACAGAATTTAATGCAGCTCTTTCTCTTTCTATTAAATCTTCTAATTGAATTTCATCCTTTTTGTCATCCTTTTTCTTGTCCTAAATATATTTGTGATATTAATTTATAAATAATATTTAGATACCTTACCATTTAATTAAAAATACTATTCTAAATTGTACAGTTAAACTAAAAACCAACCTTTTTAAGAACAAATCCTGGAGGTAATGCATGTCTATAAAAACAAGAAGTACCATTTGGACATGACCAGAACCATCCATATTTACTTTTTTCAACAGCTTCCAAAAAATACATGCAAATCTAAAATAGAAATAATGCATCAAAATGTAGATTTATAAAATATTAAAGTGTTACTAACAATATCAGTTGATGGATGCTTTTTATCAGTTTCTCCATGTTTTTTGTCTACTACTTCTTTGAGCTTGTCTTCATCCCAGTTTTCCATAGTATCATTTTCTTCACCATCTCGTAGATCCACATACATACTTCTTTTTTCAGCTTTCTTTTCAGTAGCCAAATCGTGAGAAAATTTACACTTTGACCCTTTAGCACACTGACCTTGTTTGAAAAATGCACATAAGATGGATTTTGGATCGGCACCTAATTCAATTGTTATATATAATAAAATTGTTAGTAAGATTATAAATAATACATCATATTTTCTCACATTAATAAAAAAGCAGATTTGGACGAACTGATTCTTGTTTTATATTGAATTAAATATGATACGTCCACATACATGCTATTACACCCATTTAGTTTTTGAAATTTTAAAAATAAATTATTAATTGATATTTGAATTATTAATGCTAAATTGTACTGAATAATAATGTACGAATTAAAATTTGTAAGATATTTAAAATACCTACATATTTATAATAACAAGTTAAACTGTAAAAAACTATATTCAGTAAGTAAAAAGTTACAGATTTTTTAGGACTTACAGTTATGTTTAAAACTTTAAAGTAAACCTGAAGTTTTACCTTTTTCAACTTTTTGAACTGGTTTAAATATCAATCCTAATTCATCTTTAGTTTTATCGTCTTTTTTCTTGTCATCTACTTTACGCACTAATCCACCAGATTTAACTTGTTTCTCAACTTGTTGAATGAATCTTTGTTGTTTGGCTCCTTTTTTATTTTTTAGGCCAAAAGTTTTATCCTATAACCATATAAGTAAGTAATTGATAAAACTTTAAATATATACAATGGATTTTTAAAATTGTTGATAGAGGTGAATAAAAAATTGAACATCTTACTTCAATAACTCTTTCTTTTTTCTTAGCATCGGCTTTTTTACTAGTTCCCTGAGCTTTTGGCTTAGGAGGCATTTTGTTTGTTTGGAAACAACTAAGTATAAATTAATATTAATTTATCGAACATAAATACATTAACAATTTTATTTTAGCTAAATATATTCAAAGAAAAAAATTTGTAAAATAGCTATAATATTCACAAATAGACTATCAAGTATGAAGTAGTAAGTATAAGAGCATAAACCTAGTATAAACTATAAATTATATAAAAAAATTCCTACTTCTAATTCTAAAGAACAATATCAAAGCTTATGAACAATAACCTCAAAAACAACAAATTATCGTAACATATTCAGTGTGTCAAACACAATCGACCATTGATAAAATACAGTATGACCATGTATTACCCATCGAATAGATAATCTAATCTTTATTGTTGGGGAAGAAGGGAAGAATCGAGTAGAGTAAAACCACAGAATATATGAAATATAATATATATTTGAATTTGAATATAATATAATAGGTATATGAAACTACCAACTTACTGACCCCATGTCAAATAGCATTTGCGGCCATATAAAATTCGTAAACGAAAATTGATCATTAGGATTTTGGAGACCCCTAGTGCCAGATAGAATGGATAGGCCTGCCGAGTTGGAGAGTTTTAAGATTTCTAACTTTTGACTACAGTTTTATATTTTCAACTGGTTTTTTATTACCTATCATGTAAAAATAAATTTTGGTATATTTAGAATATTTTACTGTTCTTAAATGGATTAAAAGCTAAGACTAAATACTTACATCTCAACTTATATTTACAGATTAACTATGTCAAATCTATGAATAATATTAAGAAAATATAAATGGTTATCTAGTTTTTTCATAGAGGCCTCCTCTAAAATAAATGCTTACAAAAATATTGTAACTGCAAATTGCTGTTTTAAAAGGACCATACACTGAGTACACTCGTGGGCTTTTTATATTTTAATTTTAAAGCTTTTAAAGTTATGAAAAATTGTAAATTGTTTGTACATCTTAATACTCATAACTGAGTTTTAAATTAAAATATAATAAGAAAACTACTAAATACCCTAGATAATAAATTTAATTTAAATTTTATGAGAGGTCAATTCACTCTAATTTTTAAACTAAAGGAACTAAACGTAATCTACGGAGCATTAAATTTAACATGTTATGGACTTGTAAACGAACAACCAAACATCAGTGTAGAGTCCTCTTAGATCTGATATAATATATAATATTATGATAAAATACAAATAAAAAATGCACATGTTGTTTATCTATTGAATCAACACCTTTTAAATCAAACAGAAATTTAAATTATGACTTTGATCATTTGTCATTAACTATTATTCTGTTAGTTGGCAGTAAGTTAAATTGACACAATGGATAGCTTTTGACAATAATTAAACAAGTCGTTTAGGATTTTTTAGAAGTACTTAGAATTTACTTCAAACTCTAAAACATAGGTTAAACTATTATTAATTTGTTGACATTTTGTTATTTTTATATTTTATTGGTGTAGCAGTTGAGGGAGACCAAATGTTATTTTTTTATTGATAGGCATTTTGTATTTTACAAATCAAATATAATACATCAAAATTTAGAACTAGTAATAAAATCAATCTGTTTTAGTGGTATTTCTTCCAAAAAGAATGTTAAAATATTGAGAATAATTTTAAATATTTTTGTAATTATATAGAAAAAAAAATATTAAACACTCAATACAGGCAATAATATGAACATAAAACAATTTATATAATAAAATAAATATTATATTTTTTATATATTCACCTACATTTCAGTCTATATAACAAATAACTATTAACTTTAAAGAACACCAATTTAGTTAATACATGTTATTATCCAAATATGTAAAAAAGTTGAATTTTTTTAACTAAGTGTATTATGTTATGGTCAATTCCGTCACCATTCCCTTTGTTTTTTTTGCTGAACACCAGTGAGAATATAGTATGCCTTGTCTGTGTGTCTGATGCTCATTTGCTTATGTTTTTGGAAAGTTTTGCATAAATTGTATAATCGTTGATCCCGGGTAACAAAGTAACAATCTTTGCAACGCTTTCTTACTTTTCCAAAAACTTTGAATCCTCTAGAAGGGACTATAGTTAAGCCATTAACTGGTGGTGTATGTAACACTGAAAAAATTTGAGGAGCTATGTTTATTATGGAAGCTCTTTTGAATAAATTGCTAAAAAAATTCATTCTGAAATATAAAAATTTTAAAATATTAAAAAAACCGTTTTATGTATAAATTACCGAATCATAACGATTAACCAACCTTGATTCCTTGTTAGTCTTACTTATTAACAATTTGTAAACTTTAGAGTAGCAATTATTAGCTAAGAAATTTTCACGCGACTCAACGCTGGTCCACTGACAACAATTTACACTTTTTCTTATCAGTTATCATCAGTATTTTTTTATTCCTTATCATTAATTAATATCATTGGAATAAGTTGACTTAAAAAAAAATTTGTGGAACAAAAGGTAGTAACTTTTTACCATAGACCACAAATCAAAATAAATATTTCACACTGTCCGGCTATCATTGATATGAATTATCACTGTATCATTTACCATGTTGTTTAATGTTTGTTATGAAATGCAATTTTAAATAAAAATAATAATTTTAAATATTTTGTAGTAAAACTGTAAAAGTAAAATAATATTCTCTATACTAGGTACTATAATAATACTAGTACATGATCTAAAAATATAGTTGTATTTAAATAGGTAATACCTTTAAAAATTTCTAGGTGTCAGAGTTTTAGAAACTTACTCCGAGTACATGGTAAATTTGTTTTTACTGCATGCACCTATCAAGTTTTAAGTGTTAGAAGTGAGTTAGTCTATTTATATTATAAGTATTATGTAATTTAAATGTATCTAAATAATTTGTCTAACTATAGAAAATATTATATAAGTATAATGAAAATTGCCATTGAAGGATGTGCTCATGGCGAGCTTCAGCAAATCTATAGTACAATTGCCTTGATTGAAAATCGTGACAACATAAAAGTAGATTTGCTAATATGCTGTGGCGATTTTCAAGCAACACGAAATATTGATGATCTTTCAGCAATGGCAGTTCCACCTAAATATAGACTGATGTGCACTTTTCACAAGTTAGTATTGAGATTAAATTATTTTGTTTTCAAAATAAAAGATTTAAATATCTTATAGATATTATACTGGAGAATTAGTGGCACCAGTCTTAACTATATTTATTGGTGGAAACCATGAAGCTTCAAACCATTTACAAGAGTTAAGCTATGGTGGCTGGGCAGCACCCAATATATACTATATGGGTTTGGCCGGTGTAATTAATGTTGGTGGTATTAGAATTGGAGGATTATCTGGTATTTACAAATCGAATGATTATATGCGAGGTAGATTTGAAAAACAACCATACACTGAACAAACAAAAAGAAGTATTTATCATATTCGACAACTGGAAGTATTTCGAATGAAACAAGTAAATATAAACAACTCTTTATTTAATTGAAAATTATACATGCTTCAAAATATTTGAAACAAATACTTTTATGTATCTTTTTAGCTGAAACAACCAATTGACATAATGTTATCACATGATTGGCCTCAAGGAATAGAAAATCATGGAAATTTAAAACAATTACTTAAATACAAACCTTTTTTTGAGTAATCACAAAGTTTAATAAAAAATATTTTTATCCCAATTAAAAAAAACCAACATAAATTTACATTTACATTCATGTTTTTAGAACAGACATTAATGAAGGCAAATTGGGTAGTAAACCTACACGAGAATTATTGGATCAATTAAAACCAAAATATTGGTTTGCTGCTCATCTTCATTGTAAATTTGCCGCTATAGTAAACCATGCATCAGATGATAATGTAACTATATTTCTAGTGATAATAATTTTATGCTATCCCTCTAAAAATGTGTTGCATGTGCTTAGGCGTATACAGACTTCAATTTCTGGTCAAGCCTGGAGGGATTGAAAATATACAATGTTTTTGTTAGATGAATAAAATTAGTTTAATGGTACAGCAAATATTTTCTAATTTTATTGCACTTTCAATAAAATTTCCTTGATTACAAAGCACATGCATATTATTACAATATAGCATTATAATAAAATGTAACTCACATTTCACCATGCCCCTAAACAATTTTGCCGAGGCTGAGTGCGCACGCCTATGTGTATGTAATAAACTCACATTACTTTGAAATAATGATATGTTTTAATGATAGGGATAAACTTTAGTGGAAATCAATAAATGTGTATATTTAATGATTGAAAATAGATAGGATTTGATTCAGTAAATTCATTAGATGCATGATTGTTTATTAATGTTTACAGTTACTTAATATTATCTAATTGATGCATTAACAGGAAGAAATGGAGAAAAGATGTACTAAATTCTTGTCCCTTGACAAGTGTTTACCAAAAAAAAGGTTCTTACAGATTTTAGATGTTCCTCATGATGATTCTAAATCAATTAATTTAATGTATGACCTGGAATGGCTTTCAATTTTGCGCCTTACCAATCATTTACTAAATATCAACAGTAACATGTATTATTTACCAGGACCTTCTGCTTCAGAAAGGTTTTTATATAAACTATTAAATTGCATGAAACTTTCTATCAATATTTCTGCAATTGTATTTACAATAAATGATTAATTTATATTTAGATATGATTTTACTCCAACTGAAGAGGAAAAGACTGCTGTTCTTAACATGTTCTCTCATGACTTGAGAATCCCAAACAATTTTATTACTCTTGAAAATTATAGATCTAAAACAAATCCTCAGACAACTACTTTTTGTGACAAACTAAGTATAGACGACCCTCTTGCTTTATTATTAGGGCAGTGGTCTCGTTCTAACTTAACTGAAAATGAACCAGAAATGGATTCTACATTTTCATCATTTGTAAACTCTACCGTGTGTTCAAATAATGAAGATGAATTAATAGATAAGACTTCAGAAAAATTACCAATGTCTCCATTTGTGCTACCCGAACCAAAAAATGATAGCACATGTTCAAATATAAATGACAATTCATTTTTGGATAATTGCTCAAGCATAACAATGTCAAACACATCTACAGAAGAATCTTATAAAGATGTTCATCAATCACAGGGTAAATGTTATAAAATATTTTAAATATTTTATTACTTTATTTTTAAATTACCAAATTTTTTTTAGATTCCGTAGTGAATAATGGTTTAAATAATGAAGTAAATAATTCAGCCACTAAAACAAAATGTTTAAAAAGAAGAAATTATCAACAAACTGATGACAATGACTGTGATTAGTATTATATTTTTTTTGAATTTTTAACACCTTAAATATTGATTTTCTAATAAATAATTTGACATGTTCATATCAATGCATATTTTTTTTATAGTGATGTATATTTCGATTTTATCCTCTTTTTCTTCATCCTTTGTTCCCAATTTTATGTTTATATGAGGTAGGCCACCCGTGTCCTATATCTTTATAAAGCTCTACCTCATTCACACCAGCTATTTGCTTGAATCTATCTCATCCATTTCTTCTTTGGTTTACCCTTCCTCTTTGCTTCCACATTTGTACCTACAGCCACTATCACTGCCTCAGAGTCACCTCTCCTCATAATATCTTAACCTATTCTCCTTCATTTGTCTACAATTAGTACAACTCCTACACTACCCCAAATTAGTACATTCCTAATCTATGCTCCCTAGGACTCTACACATCAAAATTTGACTCATTCAAATATCTAATTTCTGACATCATCCTCAAAAGGTTAGGTTGAAATAAATAAAGAAATAGAGTGAAATAAACGTGATCAATACTTAACCTACGACGCACCATTAAGTATTTACCGATTAGTAATTTGCACTTTGTAAAAGACTACTAAAAGTGCTTTTTCGAGTTATTATGGAAGATTGTGAAAAACATGATTTGTGCCCTGATCCATTGAATTTTAAAGAGAATTTTCAATATTTACCTACCTCCCAAAAGGAACCAACTAAATCATATTTGGGCGTTCTCTGATGAATGTGTCACTAAGAATATCTCTCATGTTTTTTACTAACCAATTTCTTTATAAAAATAAAAGAAACCATACAACTTATATTTACCGCAAAATTGACTTATGCATGCTGCTCATTAGCACTATAGCAGTTCATATTATAGTGAGACATATCGATCAATGTTAAAAAACAAACAAAAATATTACATACAGTTTCACGAGTAGTATTTATTACCTATTGGATTATAACGATAGTTACTAATGTGTCATGTGTGCCTGGCGAAGAAGAAATTTATCCAATATACCTAGTACCTACCTATACTAAGCTGTAGTTTTGAAAATAGAAGTTGCTTTCATTCATTCAAAATTTAATTGGTTTCTAAATTGTTTGATAGGTAACTAGGTAAGTAACTCGGGCGAATGTATCCCCCCTGAAAATTCTTTCGCACCCCCCTGACAAATACAACTTTCAACAAAATGTACCTATTTATTTAATGCACAATACCTACTCGTCACGATAACCACACCTAATGGCGTTCAATAAAATATAATTTATTTATAACAATGTTTTTATACCGTATAGCCAGTATAGAAACTATCTACTGACTTTCCCGAAATTATAGCAGTTATTAGGTAACGAAAAATAATAATTACAATTTACAATTTATGATGACGGCTGGATTACGAATTACGATGTAATCGAAACCTGCGTACGGTATGGTACGTAGTACATCGGCGTAACTAGGGGGGGGGGCTTAGCTCCTCCATCTGTGTATTTATCCCGCTATATATATTGTACTTATATTTGCATTTTGGTTTTAATGATGAGTTAATATTTTCACTTTATTGTTTATTTTTAATTTTGATTTTAGAGGACAGTTACGCTTACTGTGGTGGGGGTGTGGGGCCCCCAAAGTTATTTTGAACGTTAGTTGTTTAGGACTTAAGCCCCTGTAACTATTAAACCCTAGTTACGCCTATGACCTAGTACCATTGATTAAATATATATGTATATTTAATCAATGCTAGTACCTTGTACCTACCTACTATTGTCACAGTCCGTGGAGACTCAAATAATAAGTTTAATCAGTTCTGCCTAGTTGTTTGTATCTGTATGTTGCAGGCACGTAATTATGGGGGGGGGGATATGGAGGATAGTTCCCCCCATAAGCTGTATATATTTATCGACTTTATATATCCCCTGACTTGCTGTGCAACACCACTTCAAGTTGGTCACAGGGTAACTACCAGCTCGCCAAACTCAAATTACTTCGCACGGCATTAAAACAGTTTTGCGTGCATGGGGCATACGTATATATAAACGTAAAATCGAAAATTTTTTATGTCTATAACTTCCAAAATAATGGTTTCCTCAAATTTTTTTTTGCACTATCGTTCTTAACTCGTCGAAGTACATATATTTCAAAAAAAAAAAAATTAAAAAGGTGCTGGGTAGCTATAAAGTGAATTTATGCCGTTGTATCTTGTATTAGTATATAACTAGGCATAATTTCAAAACAAATGGTTATTTAATTTTCATCTTTATCTTATTGATTTATAAATACGGGATATCCTGTACTCCTGTCATACATTGTATCTAATTAATAGGGCAGAAGACTTTGTATTTACATATTGTTTTTGCGTAGTCACAAAATAGTAGAGTACGAAACAATAAGTCTATGTTTCATACTTTCACAAAACTCATGACATTTTATTTTGCATATAAATGCATATTTTGAGTTTTTTTTAGTTTTTAAGGCATATTTCTTCCATTTTATGCCTTGAAATGCATATATTAAGTAGTTTATCATTTTATCAATTTTTTTTTCGTCAACGTCCGAAATAACGTTGAATTTTTTTTTTTTTTTGAAAACTGCCTGATGGCTTTTTTATTATAACGATCAATGATCTTTAACAATACATTTCAGAGGTATACATAAATAAAAGATACTAATGAATAATATTTTGTAGATATATGTAAACAAAAACATGTTTGGGTTATCACTCCCAATGGAGAGGCCCGGTCTTAGTCTAACATTTTATACTAAGTCATATGGTCTTCGGCGTTTGAGACGCCTTATGTCTTGAGAGTTGTCAAGTAGTTGAATTGCTGCTGAATTGATGTGTTGATCTAGTCTTGTCTCGTGTTTTCGGGCAAACTTTGTAATCTCGTCCTGGACTGAGGGCATCATCAAGTCTCGGTGGATAGTGTCATTTCTGTCGTACCGGTACGCTGCGACAATAGTACGGAGAGCAATGTTTTGACAGCGTTGAATAATCTCAATATTGGACTTACTGGCACAACCCCAAAGTTGTATTCCATAGGTCCATATTGGTTTAATTATCGCTACGTACAAAAGACGTTTGCTTGTAAGGTCTAGTTCAGAGTGTCTTCCGATTAGCCAATAAAGTTTCCTCAATTTATCTTTAATTTGCAACTTTTTCTGTCGAACGTGATGTTTCCAGTTTAATCGCGAGTCAATGTGCATTCCTAGATATTTTGCAGCATCGTTCTGTGGGATGATCTGTTGATCCAACATTACTGGACAATAAACACTTTTACGCAAAGTGTAATTTACGTGTACCGATTTGTCACTGTTAATTTTGATTTTCCAACGCTTAGTCCAGTTGGAGACGTTGTTAAGTGTTCGTTGAAGTTGATCAGTCGCAGTCTGCTGATCTTCATCAGTTGCCAATATTGCTGTGTCATCGGCAAACATGGCTGTCATTGAATAGTTGTTAACTGGAATGTCAGCTGTGTAAAGTAAGTACAAAATAGGTCCGAGGACACTTCCTTGGGGTACTCCAGCTGATATGTTTTTCCAGTCAGTTATTGCTTCTTCGTGAATAACTCTGAACTGACGTTCAGACAGATAGGACTCGATAAGTGCGCACCAAGTATGCGGCAATTGTTCGCGTAGCTTAATAAGTAATCCTTTGTGCCAAACTTTATCGAAAGCTTGCGCAATATCGAGGAATACTCCACAGCAGTATTTTTTTTCTTCCAGTGCCTTGTTTATTATATTTGTGACACGATGGACCTGTTCAATTGTTGAGTGTTTACTCCGGAATCCGAACTGGTGTTCAGGAATAATCTGTTTTACTTCTATTATTGGTTTTAGACGCTTTAAAAGTAATTTTTCGAATAATTTAGATAAGCTTGGAAGAAGCGATATAGGTCTGTATGAAGTTACTTGTTCAGGAGGTTTTCCTGGTTTAAGTAGCATGATGACTTGAGCTCGTTTCCATTGTTTAGGAACGTATTCTGTACGCAAGATGGCATTGTAGATGTGTGTTAGATGAATCATAGCCTTTTTGGGTAGTTCTTTCAGTATTTTCGGGTTTATTTGATCGTAGCCCGGTGCTTTTTTTATATTGATATTCGTATCGATTTCTTTAGCAATTTCAATTGGAGTAAAGTACTTAATCTTTTCGCGTGTTTCGCTCAATGGTTGATTCTGTTCTATATCGAGTTCAGAAGCGATATTGTTCGGCTGAAATGCATGTTCCAGATGACGTGCATACATTTCAGCTTTGTCTTGGTCACAACGTGCCCATGATCCATCTTCCTTGCGAATTGGTGGCACATAGGCTCTAGGTCTTTTCATTTGTTTTGTAGCCTTCCATAACGAATAGTCATAGTCTTTTGTTGCTGAAAGGTTACTCAAGTAAGATTTGAACGTTTCGTTTTTGACTTCTTTTATTTTATTATGTAAAAGTCTACTAGTGCGGTTCCAAATAGTTTTATCCGATGGATCTCTCGTTCGGTGCCATTTTTTCCGCGCTTTTCTCTTTTCTTTTACTAGTTCCCTGACTTCCATTGGGTAGGTGATTTCACAATTTAACGTTGAATTTAAAATTATTTTAAATGTTGATCATAATATTAACATGGTTGTTGACTTTTCCCAGTCGCATGTTTTTCCTAGAACCACGTCTCGAGAGTTGCTTATTAGATTGGTTTACGGGTTATTAGAGTATAGTTAAAAGAAGTATCTGAAAACCCATAAAATGAACCCAAATAATTGAATACTTATGGTACCTACTTAAAATTTAAATACAATTTATTCATTAAAGTAATTAGTACCTACAAAAACATTCTTGATTTTTGTTAAAAAATAATCATTTTAAAATGCATATTTTGTATATTTAAGTGCATATTTAGTGATTTTTTAGAGCTACAAGTCTTTTAGCCTACTAAATAGTAATTACAGAACCTACGTGCTACATACACAGATATATGAGATAGTAAATACTCTAACGATGGGTAACCGGCAGGTGGTAACTCAGCTTCAAAAATATAACCTAATAGTAAAATTGTAACTTCAAGATTAATAATAATATTGGTATGAACGAATAGTGAATACTACGAACTCGTGCTGCCACACAGTACCTATCTGCATTGGTTTTCGAGACGCGTTTACACACTTAACACTACACAGTAGGTACACATACACATTATCACTCTGTAACGACCTACGACTTCAATCTTTTTTTTATGCACACTTCGCATTTCGCGGTAAATAGTAATTTATCGTTAGACTTTCATATTTTTCTAGTCCAAAAACGAAAATGTATTAAAACAAAAGGAATTCGACTACTAATAATTTTCAAGCAAGAGGTTATTGATGAATTTGTCAAGAAGTCAATGAATTTGGACGTAATATTATAAAAAAAAAAATTGATAAACCTTTTTTGTTAATTTGTATATGCAATATAAAATAATCGTATAGATTTGTCATGACTCATGAGATATTAAATGTAGATATGGGGGGGGGGGGCAAAGCCCCCTTCAAGTCTGTATTGAATATTTATTTTGATATCCCTCCCCATGAAACATTCTTAATTACGCCACTGGACTATGTTGTTCCGGAACAAAAATGTCCAAAAGAAAAATAACAGATTTTTTTCCACAAAATAAAAAAAATAAAACTTCAGAGCCCCAAGATTCTGATCATAACACGATTGACACGGATTCAGATAAATTACCTCTACAAAATAAAAAGGTAAAGAAAAAAGATTTTATGACAAAAAATGGGAAAATGATATTCCGTGGCTTTATTTTGATATAAACGCAATGGTGCTTTTTGCAAATTATGTGAACAACATGCTGTAAATGATTCCGTACTATTGACAAGCACATGGACAACATGAGGAGTTTTTATTAAAACACCATTTAATAATTAAAAATAAATAATTTGTTTCTAATTTGTTTTGTAGTTGTTTCTAAATTTAAAATGTCTAAATTGTAAATTGTAATAAGAATAACACCATTTAATAATTAAAAATTAATAATTTGTTTCTAATTTGTTTTGTAGTTGTTTCTAAATTTGAAATGTCTAAATTATAAATTGTAATAAGAATAACTACCTATTAATAGGTATAAATGTATAATTCATAATACTAAAATCACCATTCACCAATGAAAAAAGGGTGCCCCCCCCCCCTTGTCTGGATTCAACNTTACAACCATACTCCACAAATCAATAAATTATAGTTTTTATGTCTATACACTATAATGTAGGAGAAGTGTATAACACATAAATATAATAAGTGTCGAGTGTCGAGGATTACAAAATATTACAATGCACCTACTCAGTCAGTGGAATAAAAAACGTTATCGTAACGATATTTCCGGTGTGGCGTTATCAGTCGCACTTACTCTGTATCAAGTATCCATCAACGATTGCTTATTTATTAACTTTTGAAAAATGTAGTTGTTAATGTTTCAGTATTTTAATGTACTATTGTACTTATTGTTTTGTATATATATTTTTTTTCACTCCTGCACTTCTCAGTTCATTTTATGACTTCGCGTGTAACGTGATATAGTTTCTTAAACATTCTAGCCCGTCAAGAGCTATGTGGAAATCCAGCAATTGGGCTAGTTTGTTCCCCACTAAGACATCTTTTGTGGTATTTGTCCTGTACATAGCACTGTCAATGAATCACGGTAAAAATGCAGATTCTTTTCATTAAATCACATTTTTTTTCTCTATCTAATGCCTATTCTGATATACTCTTTTAATGATGGACAAATTCATGAATTTAAATTATCTGATTGTATATTATTTATGATATGTTATTATGTTTTAAAAAAATAAAATAATATACTGATTTCGGCAATGACAGATAGGCACCTAACAGTCCACATTATCCCTGCTCACAGTACATTATTTAATTTTTTTTTTAAGGCCACATTATGGATATTGAACAAATAACCCTCCACACAGAGTAAGCCACAAAAAAAATTTAACACATTTATTGAACAAATATATTTTTGTTTTATATTTCCATAAAATATATATATTTCATCTCCAGAAACATATTCACAGTATTCGAAACGTTCACCAAAAAAATTGTATTTTTTGTGGTAGAAATTTTAATAAAAAAATATTACTATATACCTAATAATGAATCAATATATTTATTAATTGGCAAATAAATTGGGCGTACCAAAAATCATTCAAATTCATTAAAATATAAACATTCACGTTAAATTTAAAAAAACGAGTGAAGTTTGCGTATTTATACTAAATATAAACTTGAACGTGTGAACTTACATTCATAAAAGACATTCTTTCTAAACATTGTATATTCATTACATGCTTACTTACATTTATACAATATAAAAAAGTAACTTACTATTTATTATATTCAACTATACAAGTATAAAATATCACTACACAACTGAGTATACATTTTTTAATAGAACTCATTTAATAAAATATATGCCTTCTTGAGTCATCGGGCCATTGCAGTCATGTAGAGGAAATTACTATGTGTCCTCATAGGCCCCTATCTGCCTCTAATTATAAATACCTATTAGATTCAAATACTTAGTATGTTCTACACATTTTTTTTCTTTTGCAGGATTATTAGTCAAATTATCACAAGATAAAGGCACATATAACTATAACGTTGTGTCAGTAATTATTTTAACCGAAGTTATAAAACTAGTAATATCCCTGTTTTTGTTTTGTAAAGAGTAAGTGAAATTTTAAAACACCTAGTATAGTTTTTATTTACCTACCTAAATAGTGTAATAATAGATATACAATAGTTATAGAATAAATAGTTCTACAATTAGTTTGACTAACATTTCCACAAAGTATAAATAAGTAGGTATAATTATATTTTTATTTCATTGTTCCTAATTTATAGTAACAGGTATATTCTATAAATGATTTCTCTATTATATATTAATATCCTTTGTAAAAATAAAGTAGTTAATATTCATCAATGTACCTACCCTACTCTGTAGCATGATATAATAAACTAGTTTATTACATTATGCTCTGTAGGGTAGTCATTTGTATTCAATGTTAATATAATAACATCCCAAACAAATTCTAGTTATATTAAATATTTAAATTTAGTTTAAGTAATAAATGAGTAAATTTAATGAAATTTTCTTTTTCACTTAAAAAAAATTATATACCTATTTTAATTAAGGAGGGCCGATAATCAATATTATTGTTTTCTGATACCTGATACTCTGATGTACCTACTTAAAAACATTTTTGGCAAAGACCACGAACTGGTATTATAATAAAACTAATAACACAAACCAATTTTAGATAAATGAATATTATTTTGCTAAATATCAAAAATAATAGTATTTATTAATAATCATACTAATTATTAATAAAATATTAAGTAAAAATAAACATACACAAATGTTCAAAATGAATAGTAAATAGGTACTTATAAAATAAATAGTAAGAAATGCATTATGTTATGCTGATGGAATTTTATTTTTATTTTTATGCTTTCGGTTCAAATTTTGGTTTTAAAAAAAAAACCAACATCACCTATTTTGACTAATATAAAGTATCAATTCTAGGGTCAGTCTATCCCAAATCTTAACAAGTATGTATTTTACTTTACAGCAATCCCTTAAGAAACATTATTGATCAGACTAGGGAGAACTATACTGGTCAGTATTTATAGATTTATTTTAAAACATTTTTTTAAACTTATATGCATACTTTAATACTTAAGCTTGTACATTTGTATATTTTATTACCAGTACTCTTTCTCTACATGGTACCGGCACTTCTCTACTGCCTGTATAATAATTTGGCATTTGTGAACCTATCAATATTCGACCCAACTACATATTTTATTCTTCTTCAACTTCGGGTCATACTTACTGGTATTGTATATCAATGTTTGTTTAAAAAGGATCTCAGCAAAATTCAATGGTTATCTTTAATCCTTTTGACTATTGGATGTATGATAAAAGAGTTGAAAATGGAGGGCAGTATTCGACAACAGTCTTATGGTTTTTTTATTAGTATATTGTTGATGTTGATTCAAATACTTTGCTCGTGTTTAGCTGGTGTCTACAATGAATATTTACTTAAAAAAGGCCAGGGTGTTAATGTAAATGTTTATGTGCAAAACATATATATGTACACTGATTCAATACTTTGTAATGTATTATTGTGGATAACATTTAAACATAATGAAACAGAAAGCAATGTCTCTGAAACAGACATTTTTAAAAACTCTATGGTATGATATTTATTATATTATTATATTTTTCTCTTGCTGTTAATTATTAAAACAACTACTGTTTATCCAGGTCATGTTTATTGTGATAAACAGTGCCATTTATGGTGTTGTAACTAGTTTACTACTACATAGTTTAAATTCAATCATGAAGGTTTTTGCCACAGCGATTGAACTAGTCCTCATTGCCGTATTATCATGGGTACTTCTAGGATACCCAATCACTTTGCAGACTATGTCAGCTGTATGTATTGTTTCGTGTTCCGTAGTTATTTATGCCAAACATCCTCTTACAAAAAGTACACTACCAGCTACTATTAGTAATAAAAATTTGGTAAATATTTAAAACTAAATTAAAAAAATAATTATTGGAATAAAATATTATATTTATCCACCTACTTAATTTTCTTTCTCCAGAATAATGTATACCTATAACTTATAAGTTAATTATATATTTTATATCAATGTTTCTATTATTATTATCTCTCCATACCTAAATACCTAGGTAATATTTAACTATTAACTAGTGATATTATTATAATTTATTTAAAAACCAAAACATTTGTATTATATATCCTTATAGGTAATTCCTATTTTTTATTTGTATAAGTAAGGATTGTTATCCTCTAAAATAAACTAAGTCATTATACCCATGTATTCTGTATTCTGCTGTAATGAAAATTAACTTATATGTGATTCTTATATCTGTTAACCCTATGGTTTTTTTTGGGGGGACTCTTAAATATTAATCAATATAAAATTTAATGTGATAATTTATTAACTTGTTCATAGCTATAGTCAATATATAATTTATTAGTTAGCTACCTATATCATTTTTATTAGTTACCAGTATAGTCAGACAAATGTGATTTATTTTTGTTGTATTAAATTGTAATAAACAATAATATATATTATGGATATATTTGTGAAATTATAAATACTACACTCAATTTGTATGTATTTCCTATTACATTAAAAATAATTATTTTATTTAGTGTCATATATTTCCTCATTTTTTTCCAATATGGCACATGGCTGATCTTGGCTGGATACATCTAAAGTAAACATTTATATACCATTTTCCTTATTCATTGCAATTCCATGTTATGTTTTAATAGAATAATTTATTCATTTTTACCTAAGTATTCCTTGCCTCTTCGCTTATCTTATATACAATATACTTATTTGAGTATATAACTATTTGTTCAGTATTCAGTATTAATTATTCATCAACATTAACTATGAAAAGTACTTCTGAATGTGAAATTAAAATAATAAGTTGTTTTAAAAATGAGCGTATACCTAGTCAACTATTTATCAAGAACGCGTAAATTCATATAGGTACATCATAGCGGATTACCGATTAGCTATACAGCCAGTAACATTGTACAGTACATAGGCGTAGAATGGGGGGATGCTAAGGAAGCTATATCCTCCCTAAAATCAAAATTCTGCTAAGCCCAACCCCCAAATAAATTCATCACGCCTATAATTATAGTACAGTAGTGACTATTTGTCATTGAACCTATACGAAAAATGAATCTGAGTGAAGACTGTATGTCAGCCTATAGAATATTTTATATTAATTATATTAGAATTGCTCTCGTATATAATAATATTAGATAGGCCATAGGCTGAATTCATTTTTTCAAAAAATATTAAATTTGCATACCTTATATTTTCCTAAAATGCTCAGTGATTTTTTGGTTACCGAATAAACTTTCTTCGTTTTCTTTTCCCGAGGGCCCTTGACTACAGATATAATAAAAATTAGGCACTCTACCCGAATTTATGGAAATAAATTGGAATTGCCACTAACAACAATTTCAGTTGTATTGCGCATGCGAGTACAGAGAGGGTTACAAATTTTAAATTAGTCTGAAAATGTGTTTTTAGGCCCCTATTACTTCTCGAAAACCCCATTTCAATCTATAAGGTCATTTAGACATCCAGCTGAAATATTAAAGGAGTACCTCATATCATAAACATACTTTACCTATTATTTATTAATAACTCAGAAATTACTCGTTCGAATTTTCATTGTAATAGATACATAAACAATCTCGAAAAAAAACTTTTTCATTATTCAGAGTAAAAAAGGTTGGTTCTCAATTTGACAATTTCTAGTTTGAAAAAAGAAATAGTGTAAAAATCTTAAGTATTTTTTAATATAATTCTTAAATACAGTTAACTTTTCAAAAACCAGAATTTGAATAAATTCATTATTAAATAGAAAAAATTGGTATGACCATGCTTGGTAAATCACATATGTATCATGTATCGATGTATCTACAACCTACAGATTTTTTATATTCATATTTTCTAGTAGTGTACGTCATTATCCTTATACGTGGTGGCGTACTGGCGTCACGGTTGCCTCCCAAATCCCAAATCCATTTGACGCGTATATAGTATATGTTCTACATTAGTGTACAAGTCCCGATGTATGTACACAAACTTAAATATGCGATGGGATGGTAGGGGGAACTGTAAGAAGGTACACTTTGCGGCTTTGCCCACCCTTACACGAAGTATGTACGTCAACCACCGAGCGCTAAGTGTTATGTTTCGTGTGATTTATTCCGGAGCGTAGGTTTATACTTTATACATAAAACATTCTACCTCATAATTCATAATATTATATTTTAATTATATAATATACAGAGTGATCCATACAAGTGGCCGTGGCCACACTAATTTTATTAGTCAATTTCTGAACTGTTCTGTATACAATTTTTTTTTTATACGTAGTTTGAAAAGAAAAATTGTGTTATAGCACTATACCTAAATTGAGTTATTTTTTAATTGTTTTGGTGGCAAATCAATATTTTTAATTTCATATTCTAAAGGAGAATAATATAGGTACTCTTCTAAAATAAAGACAATTATTTATTTATACATAGAAAAGGTATTGTAATATGATGGAGTATTGGGCAAACATGGTTTGTATGTTATTGTATTTATAATCATTTAAAGTTTAAATTAGCGGATATGGTATAATGTATATAATATTATCTATTATAGAAAATTAAAGTAGTTGAGACAGATGAGTGGACTACAATTTACGCAGCAGAGTTGAGGGTACCTATACTACCTACTCCTTAAACCAATAACTCCGACATATATAATAGTCTCTTAACTCGACTCATTTGAATTCGCTTGTGATCACGAATTAATAACTATATAATATGATGTTCAATATTCAATATACGCCCCCACATCATCAAGAATTAAAGAAAAAAAAATGCTACACAAATAGACTGGGTATAAAATATTAAGGAAAGTAATGTAGTACGTATTATATAGTCACTTAAACAACGGTTCACCCTGTATACACCCCTCATTATTACACCTATGTATATATGTAGAGGTACACGATTCAACGATTGTGTACGTACATACATACACGATTTGTGTTGCTATGTGAACGCTATATTTAGGTATATAAGACACCTACCTACAACACTGCAATATAATAAGGCGTTTGGCGCGCGGGCTAACTGACGGAGACGGGCGGTCATAGAAGGTGGTAGTGTGCGATGCCAGCACTCGTATTGTTGCACCGTAATAATAATATATATTATTTTTGTAATAATGCATATAATATTGTATAGATCTAAGTCCTAATTATTTTTATTATATTGTTATTACTGGCGTGTAGCTGCGCGCGTGGCCAACTCCGTACTGGTGCAAGTACGCCTCGGTACATCGTCGTAAACTCGTGATAATAATGCAAACCGCCACGCTGCGTCCGGACGTCCGGCTCGCCGTCGATCCTGTGTCGACTCCGGAAAAGTTTCGCTCCGGCCACTGTCACCTGGAGCTGACGCCCGTCTGGCAATACGTGATCAAGAAGAACCGGTTCCCGGCCAACGTCGACCGACAGGAAGTGTTCGATGAGCTGGCCGTCCGACTGCAGCATCCCGAATGGCAGGTCGGTGCATCGTTCGCGGTATAGAGCTGCTGCATGGCTGCTGCGATTGTGCAGTACCTGTGATATTATATTATAATATGTTGTATGCATGTTGACATGTTGTCCTACCTACGATTCCCATGACAATAGTACCGGTGAAATGTTGTAGAGGGACCTGAGATAATTGGGAACCATTTTTTTGGAGTCATTGATTATTGGGTTTGACTGGGTTTTTTAATATAGGTACGAGTGTGGTATTCAGAAAAAAAGCCCCAATATCAAAATACGGTAAAAAAAAGCCCCCTATCAACTAAATACATTTTTTACACTTTTTTATTAAAGTATACACATTTTGTAATTTTTAATTTTTAAACAATATATTATTATATTTTATCTATAGCCATATTATATCTAAACTATTTAGCCATTTAGGTATAAACATACATTTGAAATAGAAGAGATTGAAGTATATAGTAATAAAAGTAATTGACTTTTGATTTTATCTTAAAAATGATGAAGGTATTATATTTTATTGTAGACTCTATCTTAGTATCTACATCATTTTATTATACACCTCCCATATTTCTACCGTCTACGTGGAATGTTCATAAATTGACATTAAACAGTGGACATCGTACCAACAATACCACAGAGGGTTGGAATAACCGTTTTTCAAACCTCTGTGGTCATAAGCATCCTACAATTTGGAATTTGTTCAAAAAAATGAAAAATGGAAGTTGCTGCAGACCAAGCAAAATTGGCGTTAAGTAATGTAGGAGATTATGGAAGTACAAAACTTGGTACAAAACAATTAACTGATATCCGCTTAAAAAACGTATGTATACAAATTAAAAATAATGATATAAGTATCATGTACTTAATACGGGGCTTTTTTTTTTACCTATTTTGATATTGAGGTTTTTTTCCGGGGCTTTCTTTTCCTAGATTCACTCGTGTAAACTATCACGGGTACAAATAGTTTTTGTTCAGTAGCCTCGTTTAAATAAGTTAAAAACACACATTATACGCATACCGCATACGTACTTTTTATCCAATTCCCCGTTACCTTCCAAAACTTCATTATTCCAATAACTAAATAATAGTTAAGTACGTATTTATATAAAATATTAAAATCTTTTGTTTTTAAATAGTAAGTAAGCCATGTTATTCTACGTATTACGTAAGTTATTTATCGAATGGTTTAAATATCGTAATATTTTTTATTTTTTTTAGGCGTGTTTTCCAGTAATTTTCTCTTTAATTTTTACTCAAAGATACATAATAATATATTATAATAATAGGTATTATTTTTTTTTTCAGTAGATTGAATCAGCTTTCGTTTATAACACATAATTTTCACTGCAAAAATTATCCATCACTTCTAAATTATTGTACAAATCTATTTATCCATCTAAAATAAAACGATAATGATAATGATCAAATATTGTTATAACTGTAAACTAGTAAAATTTATTGCATATTACATTATTACCTACCCTCTATTTTGTTTATAAAAAGTTGTTTATGTAGTTAATACTGGACATCTTAAATTTTTCAATAACAAAAATATATTTTACACGAAGTTAATAGTGAATTATTTTATGTTTATACTTAACTTTTCTACACTCTACGCCAGCCTCCGTATAAGAAATTTCGAGTTTTTTACTTTTTTTTAGTACTTTTACTGGCTATTCGTACGAACAAGCCCTAGAATTTGTATGAAAAGTTGGTTACCCTTAAAGAGTTAATTTAAAATTAAAATAGGGGTCTGGCATGCCTTTTGAAAATTCGAAACCTGGGGGGGGGAGTGACGTAGGTACGTTATTTAAGGCTGTAACATAACATGTTATATGCGCAATATGTTGCAGGTGAGACTTCACGGTTCACGAGTGCTGGCTTACGTTGTACCAGCAGTCGGCCCACAACTGGATGCGTTGATGTCCCCGACAATACTTCCGGCGGTCATTACGAATCTTGCACACTTTTCACCGGCCCTTAGAAGTAGCTCTATGGATGCGATATTGGTGTACGTACAACACTCAGCTGATCCCGAATTTGTTCTCAAGTCCATGATCGTACAAGGATTGGATGTACCTGGTGCCAAATCAAGTCTCACAGTGAATGTCATGGAATGCGTTCCTGTAGTGCTTCAGCAAATAGTTAAGAGAAATGGAGAACGGCCTGTGAGTGTAAAAAAAAAAAATTTTAAATAATGCCACTATAATAAAATTACCGTATAATTATTTGCAAAAAAAAATTTAGCACGTAGATATAGCTGATACAATAATGCTCCTTGATTAGGTATAAAATTTTATACTTGAAATTAAGTAATGAAAATATAAATATTGTATATTTTTATAATTTTAGTTTTTTTTTGAAGGCAAAAAATCTATTTCTTTTCCAGTTGTATATTATTTATAGCGCAGTGTAATTGAGGAGCTCATTAGCTAATTCCTTGTAATAACTTTTTTCTGGTTTTACATTTTAAAAGCATAGGTATTTATAAAAGGTTATTTAAGAATGATAGATTTTATAATTTATATAGTGCTAAAATAATGATGGGATTTAAATTGTTGAAAAAATTCAAGGATTTCTTTAAAATATCGTACGAATAATGATATATTAGAACAAATACTATAATCATTTTAAATATCACTAAAAAGTTTGTATTAAATTGTTATGCTAAGAAATGTCCCAACTAAAAGTACATGATATTAAGTATTCGTGATTGAATTTAATAATATTGAGTCTAGTAAGTGTGGTTTCAGTCAATAAACTTTAAACTCAATCAATTTGAACTTAAAAGTTTAGTATATTTATTTTTAGATTGCCATACCTACATTTGTGCACCTTGTAACTGCCTTATCCAACAAGATGGTACAAGCGACATTTCAACAAGCTGCCGTTTACTGTTTGGACAGAGTTAAAGAAATTGTCGGAAGAAATAAATTTGATCACTATCTTGAAACATTTCATCCTATCATTAAAAAGGTAAATTATTCAAATTTTAAGCAATTTATTCCAATTAAATAGTGTATATATTTATGGAAGGTATTACCGTATGTCCTCTAGTCTGTACAATATTATTTACCTACTTACAACCTATACCATAGTACCTACCATATTATATTATGTCCATATAAAAATAAAAACATTTATAGAAAGCTAGAAAGGCCATACATGTTTAAATAGTAAGTCATACACTCATACTTAATAGTTAAGACTTAAGATACGCCATATACCTAGTAATACTTATAAATTATTGTGTTTAATTGTGTAAAATAAATCGTTCCGAAAAATATTTTTTAGATAATATATTATTATTATATACAATACTACAATGTACCTATACCTACCTACATTATAGTTTATACATATATAAGTATAATCAATAATCATAATATCATACATATTTTTAAGTATTTATTTAAGTGTGTTATTTCTAATTTTAAGATTACATTAAGTTAAATTTTCTTCATAGGATTTTGAAGTGTTGTGTGAAGTGTATAGAATATCTTCATCGTCTGGTCGGGATTCTTCAATATCATCATATGATGATGAAGACGATGTAGAAACTCCAAAAACACCTAGAAGAGTAACGTTTGGCGGAGAGCTTATTAAAATTCGAAGTCCTGACGTTTCTGATGACCCTGAGGTAATCAAGTCTACTGGTATTCCAATTCCAATCAAGCCTGCATTAAGCATACCGAAACACCCCAAAGATGAAGTGGAAAACATGGCAATAAAATTACCACATTCACGACAAGTAAAAATCACATTTACCTCAATAGTTTACTTTATTATACATTTAGCATGATTAATATTCAACTATTAATATCTCTATGCCTCTATAGATGCTATAATACTATATTATAATGCCAGTATACATATTTATTACCTTACCTATAGACAATTTTAGCCTTATCATTTAATAACTATATACTTAATTTAATTAATTAATTAGTTTGGCCTACCTTATATAGTGCTTTTTAATAGTACCCATTAACCATTATTTATAATTTATCATGTTTTAATCATAGTTAATTTTGTTTTTAATTGCTGGTTTTCAAATTTCAATTGACGCACATACAATATGACTGTATGAGTGTATGACGATCATAACGTGTTAATTGCCACTTTCCATCAACTTGGCATCTATGACTTTTTCACACAAAAATACTTAACATTTATAAAGTAGGTACTCGCTAAAAAAATTGAGAATCTAATATCTATAACACAATAAAATAATCAAGAATGAAACTAAGTAGACTATCACAAACTCTCAATTCAACCCAAGTTTAAAAACTGTAAGTTTGTCCCACAAGTCGCAACTTTATTATATTAGTTATTAGTGCCTAGTTATACACTTTGTTAGTAATTTGATTCCTTGACTTTATTTTAGATTTCGTACACCTATAAATTATAATACCTATGGATTTCGTTGTGATAAAAATAGGTACCAATTTACTAATCTGAATTAATGTATTTGCAGTTGGTTTAAGACTTTAAGTTTTTAAAATTATTTCAGGAAATCTACTAAGTTTTAACTATTGCATAATTGTATGTACAAAATGATTATACCTAGCCACCTAGGTAATGTTATTTTCGACTTGGATTTGTAACGTAACACATTAGCGTGGTTAACTAGGTACTTACAAGATATTTTTATTCTATTTATCTCATCTAAGTATGTATTATTATTTTAAACTACCTATCCTCTATATCGTTTTATGAGTCTTGTTAATAAAGACCCGACCTTTAATTATTTTTTCAACAAATGAAACTACTGAGATTCTATTTAATCAACTGAAACTATTTTATTTTGTTCATATAAATGTTTTTAAAAATGAATTGCGTCATACATGTCTCAGAAATGAAAATCGACCTGTGTTAGTAAACCTATAATACACAGCTTTTGTATAGATTTGAGTGCCCGATAACGTCCAAGTCTTTCCGGCTATCGTGGCGCGTGGTGGTAGACGGTAGTGTAGACATTATAAATAGGTCAACATCGAGCCATTAAGGTGTTTATCACGAAACACTATTGCCCTACATAAAGCTAAACAGGAGTTGGAAATTAGCATTTTTGCGTGTTACTGTAGATATTCACTTTTAACATGGGTACCTACTATGGAAAAGTGACGCCGCATGAAATTGGGTCAAACTAATAAGTTTTTCATTTATATGAAATACCCACCACCTGCGTGTCGGTTGTTGACTTTTTATTTATAATGGTATAAATCGGACATCAGTTTATGTATACCTAGTTCTAGTACCTATACCTACATATTACTATAACATATTTAGCGATGATACATTATTGTCTTGTATTATGTAAGCCGTAAGGTCATCTTGGATCAATATATTATAATTGTTAGGAAAATGCAGCATTTTAGGTTAATGGTAAATGACTAGTGACCATGCGAATACCCACGGTGTGTGACAGGAAATCTATAAAACAGTTTTGACCGAGGGTGAATAACCCCAATTTTCGATATTATAAAGGTGCATGTATGCTATATATGTATTATTTACCCATTATTTATATTGACTATATATATATATATATTATATATATTACACACCGTGATATTACAACTTAGGTTATTTTTTAGCTCTCTTAACTTGGCATTACAACTTTATTTTATTCTTAGACCCAATTTCGAAGCTCCGGTAGTTATTTGTATCAAAAACGAATAATCAATCAAGTGAGGCCAAACACCTTACCACCCCTACGACAATCAAGTATTTACCTATACTATGAATTACTTTTCATGTGTTTCAATTTTTCGAATTATTAGATATTTTTTTCTAAAACTTTTCAGATTTCAAACAATTTTCAAGTGCTCGTGTAGGTCCGTTATTAGGTACAACTTTCAGAAGAAAATTGGACGATAGGTACATAATATATTAAGGAATTTTCCAGTAGTTTACCAAAACTTTTAAATCAAAGGACAAAATTAAAAAAATTTTTTTTTTTTAGAATATCATTTAATAAGGGATTTTTTTCTCCACACGCTATCCTTTGTACTGGAAGGACCAACGATTCATTTGATGTTAGTATACAACTTTTATGAATACACATGTATTTACGTCCTTGTACACCCAACTATACCAATAAATCTGCAGGCGCGTATCCAGGATTATCACTTGCGGGTTTATGGTAGTGGCTAGTGAGCACCTATTGACTGAAGGTTTTTAATATTTTTTTCCCTATGAAGAATATGCAAGGGTACTCGTCTAAATTCGGTGGTCAATAGTATCTCCCATTGCAGCAAATGACAGCCAAACTTATAACGGTTTTAAATAGAAATATTTATTTTAAAATAAATTTGTAGTTAAAATACTATGTTTCTTAAATTACTAAAATTGTCTAAGATTGGTGATGGAAAATCCTTTTTTTAGCCCAAGAGGAGGCAAATCTTATGTATTTCATTCGACAAACTTTTAAATAATTTTACGATTAATGCACCCCCCCGATGTCAAAGAATAGCTAATTTGTTGTCCATGAAAGGTTGAGAATTGCAGCCAATTTAGTTGAAAATCATAGTTAAATCCTAATATTCTATATAGGTTAGGTAAATTGAATATATTTAACTGTCTTAACCTTTTTAATTAAACGTTGTGGTTCATGGGAATCTCAAGTATGGGGAAATATCATATTTCAAGTAGGTACGCTACGTTCAAGGTGGGATTAAGAGACCATCAAAAAATGGGGGTGGAACTTTGCGATGAGCCCCTTTAATATAATTAATACTAATTTTTATTATACTCAAGTGGGCCAATGAGCGAGTGAGCACCGGCTAGTTACCATTAATCCAGAAATAGCAACATGGCTGTTTTGTTTATCTCCAGCATTTAAGCACCATTTGTTCTCAATAGTTACATACATCCAAATGCTAACTTATTGGATATCAAGAAAAAAAATTTTCAATAACTTAACCTCCTCCAATTATCAGACATCCCTCATACGCGCCTGGATGAGTGTAATATTATATTATTTCTATTTACTAGATATCATTTTTATTTTTTTGTCATAGTATTGTACCTATAAAACTATAGATTGTTAACAATAGTTACTTCCTACTTAGTTTTAATATAGTACTACTCACTTAAATAATAACCAACTTACACTATTGTTGTCTTGTCTATTGATCACTTAGACACCATTTTCATCTAGAGAAGATTCATGAAAATTAGTCAAGTATTTTTGGGACTTGGCGCCTTAGTTTCATATTATTTTGTCTAATCTGAATTCTCAAAATATAATAGTTAACTGTTAGGTACCTTGTATATAATAAATGTTTAAATATATCGTATACCTATACAAAGTATAATACACGCTATACATCATAGATTCATAGCTGATTAATTCAAGACTCTTGGAGTTTCTTGACTACTAATAAATCATTGGTTATCAACTTAGATTTAGGAATGTAATGTTTAAAGTTGTTTACACTTTTAATTATATTTTGTCTATACCTACCACATGCACAATAAAATGAAATTATCACATTTTTTTTGCATGATGTATTCACTTTTTGTTGAACATAAATTACCTATACTGTATACATTTGTTTACACTACAATAATAGTATAATACAATACAATATAGGTATTGTTGATTATACCATTTGTTTATTAAATATTAAAGTATTGATTTTTAATTTTATATTAATTACATTTTATAATCATTTTTCACTACTGAATTATTGTTTTTTAGAGAAATTATAAAAATATGAAGATGGACAAAACATTTAAAAAGTGAGTACAGAATAAATTTAAACATATTATACATTATTCAACATATTAACTTTGGTTATTTTACAAATATATAATAATTTATGGGTATAACATTTAAGCATTGTAAGCTCAAGATTTATTTTATTTATTATATAATTTACTATTTATTATTTGATAGTGACCTTCTGATCTCTATTATTACCTCTTATTTAATATTAATTTTGAATATTTTGTAAAATCAGGAATTGAGAATATAATTCATAAACATAGTTTCAAGTTTCAACACAATATAATATATATATATTAATAATTTACATAAATAATTAAATAAATTAAATAATTTACATTAAACAATAGATTCATGAATTCAAACCTTCATCAAGATAGTGGACTCTCTGTCCATATTTTTGTTTTAATTCAGGCCATTGAACAATTATTAAATCGGCAAAAAAATACATAAATTTTCCAGTTAGGGATAAAGACTTAACGCGGCAGATACTTTCTACAAATATAATTGATGTATCTGCATAATGGAATAATTTCATCATGAAAGCAACCAGACATACAGGAACACAAGTACCTGGTCCATTGCATAAAACCAAATCTGGTTTGAATGATACAACCACAGGCACAGTAATAAAAATTGCATAAACAGTTGAAAAAATAGATGTTAAGTATGATTGATTTACATGTCTTGATCGTGGTATAGTTGCTATGGACCAATCTAAACCAATTTCATCATTTTCTACACGGTTACGGCTTGTTGTATCCGAATCAGCTAATAGATACAAACGTGGCATAAATTTCAACTTGTTCATATTGTTCATTAAACGCAACATTTCAGCTGTATGTCCGCCCGAACCAATGACAATTAATGTCCGAACAGGTAGTTTTGATTCTTTAAGTGATCGTGTATTAGTTACACGTTGCAAAATTATATACATAAGACGACCAGAAAAGTACGCCGAAAATATGGTTGGGATCATCAACCACATAATAAATAATAACATTGTTATAAATATGACTTTAAAATTGGTTTTATAATTTACATCGTTACATCAAATTACATTTTGAACTTAAAGTTGCAATATTTTAAATGTTTAATATGCGACTAAAATTATGAATAACAGCTCAAAAGAAAATTTATGTTTGAAAAAAAAGTACACGGTTTACTACAAAATGACATAGGCTGAGAGACGGAACGGGGACACAAATTCTTGATAAAACGTTTTAATAATATGATAACATATATTCAGTGATAAAGTTACCAAGGTACCAACATATTTTAAACATATTAAATACAAACCATATATTCGTCGATATTATCACAGATTATATTAAAGTAAAATTAGTAAAATTAATAATTAATAATTTATAATTAGTTAAATTATTAGTTTAATATAATCTGTGATATTATCATAGAACAGGAATTATAGAATAGTTGGTACCTTTTATTACGTTATAAATATATATAATAATTAGAGAGCGGATTTCTAGGATTTTACATATTTTTTGGCTTTATACAGATCAATTTCTACGAAATTCGTAGAAAAAAAAATATTTTGCATATTTAAATATTAACGAATATTCAGCACATATTTCATATTTAAGAATATAGTATATTTTATAATTTTTTCAAAAAAAAGTCATATTTGTTAGTTTCCAGAGTTCAAATATTTCGTTACACAAAAAAAAAAAATAAATAAATAATAGAAATTTTCCTAAAATTTGTTTATGTACCTAATTGAATTGAACATTTATGTAATTTGTTTTATTGTTTTAAGTGTGACTGAATTTATTTAAATATGGGTGACAAAATATGCAAATATTATAAACTTATAAAGTTTAACGTTAACTTATAGCTTATAGTGTTATACTATATATTTTACATAAAATGTTTATATATTGTAACTGGTGTACAGATTTTTTAATTATTTCTGTAAAAAAATCGCATTAAAATGTATGTAATTCCAAGGGTGATTTGGATTTTTTAGGAAATATATACTATTGTCTGTTGATCATTATTCATTACTATATGTCTGTACGACTGTACCTATAACAATTAGCAGATCTAATGGACCAAGGGGGCCTGGGCTTTTTTCTCCCCTTAAATTCTCCACTGCTGATAAGTGATAAGTGATACCAATGATGCCACCAACATAATATACATTTAATATATAAATCATATTTAAAGCTATATAGTACATATTGGCTATTACCAATTACAAAGTATATGATAGTCGGGTCAAATCGAATGACGAAAACATCAACAAGTCCCCCTGCGTATATATTTAACACGTGTATTCATATACCTATATAATATAAAAGAGAAAAATAGCAGACGACAATCCACCCCCAGTCGGGGCCGGTTGACCGTTGACCTTGTTTCAAAATCCAATCGATCGCGTGCGTCCATAACTTAATACACCTGCAATAACGTATTATATATACATATCATCAATGCGTGCATATAAAAGTCCACTCCCCCTTGCAAGAACCAACAGGACCCTACACCGCTACAGCACACAATATCATATTATTAATATATTATTAGGTATAATAAGCTATACCTATATGTATATTATATTTACATAATATATCTATGATTCCTATTATTATATATTTATATGTATATACCTACCTTAACCGCGTGAGTATATTTTGTAGATGTGTGATGGTCGGCACATCGCCAGTCCGTTTTTCACATTACCGTGCCGCTGACGGCTTTTTCGTTCTTTTTTTTTTTTATCACGAGACACGTCCATCACTTCGCAATAATTTACAATTATGTTCCGGTCTTGTTTCTGTTGCGGTCTCGCTCCTCCTCGTCGTCGCCGTCGAGGTAGTCGTGTAGCGTCTCCGCCGCCGAAAGAACGCGTCGCCACGCCGGTCCTTACCACAATGGCAACGGCTAAACGCAGATACAGATTTCACAATTCCGTGCACCGGGACAAACGAAATAAACTGCACCGTAAACAGATATCTCTCAATCACACCGTGTTTGTAGTGCCCAGGCACGTACCGTCGTGTACGCCGACCATCGTCGAGTAAGATCTTTACACAAATATGACAGGCTTCATTAAATATTTTGATCTATCGTATTTTCCCCGTACGACCATAGTACCATACATGCATTTGGTAATATTTATGAAAATGGCACCACTCCAAGTATGAGTTGAACTTTCAAGTCACGACTATATATATACCTATATTGTGTAGGTATATTATGCTACATAATTTATGTGCCAAGGATAAGATTTGGCTATATATGACGGGGATAAAACCTAAACATATGTGATGTACCACTGCAATTACAGGAGCGAGACTATTTTTAAGGTATAACGAATGTCATACTTAGTTCATCTGTGAAACGTGTAAAAAATTGGTAGGTATAGGTACAATTGGAAAAAATATCCACCTATTTAGGCTATAAATGGCACAATAAGGTTAAAAATTCTAGGAGAGCTTTAGTGCCACCAAAAAAATAATGTAAGTTGTAAGCAAGACTTAAGATATAATGAAGTGTAAAGTATACATACCTGTATAGTATAATAATTAATAGTATATACTACCTATATCAATGTATGCTAAAAATCTCCCCGCCTCCTTATTGCACCAATGAATAACAGTATCTATATATTTTAAACAGCAAATCTACATTTAAATACAAGTATTTAATATAATAGTTAATTTTATACGTATACGTAGGTACAATATACCTAATCTTAAATCTACTGTAGTCGGTACTACCTGTAGATCGTAGGTATACACTAGCTAGAATTGTATAATAATACTAAAAGTCTAAAAATAGTGAAAAAAAATTAAAATTTGGAAAAACTGATGGGCTTGTAGTTGCTCAAGTTTTGGACAAAACAAATAGGCATATAGGTACCTATGCGCCTATAATATTGCCCTATTATATGGTAATATTCATAAATGACAGCGAACCTGAATTTTTTTTTATCAGTTTTGAGTCTTCTGTGAAAACAACGTTTTCCATGACCGTGGTGCCGGAGACCAACAGACAGGAACACAACAATAGAAGATTATCCGACACAGACGATAATTCCCGTCGGACGGTCATTCGTCCGGCCGCGGAATCGCCGGGCGGCGGAATTCAATCGTCGGATGGCGAATATGACGACCGACGACAGGCTCCGACCAACCGTATGTCTTCGAATATTCAGGTCGAAAAATCTGATGGCGGCGCAATATTGGGAACCCGACGGGTCGACCCCGACGATCGGCTTCTGCCAAAACAGCAGCCAGTGACTAACGATCACAAAAAACCTCCGACGCAGTCTGACAATGATTGCGACGCAGGTGTCTTCAAACCGGCAAATGTTAAGATGCAGGGTTCTACAGCGAGCATATTAACTGAAGGCGCAGACGTTCAACCACAAAACGAGTGAGTCCAATTACTCCATACAATGCAGAGCAGGCTGTAGTCAACATTTGTTTTTATCGTGAGGGGAGGCACTTAATCTGTTCCCTAGTTCTTGTACACTTGTCTCCAGTTCCCTTTCCCTCTATACATATAGCCACGGCACTGATACAATGTACAAACCCAATATACATATTTTATACCTATTTTGTACACGATGTTATAGTCGCGGTACGAGTGTACGACTATGACAAGACTAGTCCATCATATACATACACTCATCTTGGGATTTTTTCTATAGAGATGCTGGATGACCCCCTCTCGACCCCGTATATATTTATTCTTATTTATAATGTATATTGTGTATAGTTTACATACGGTTTACTGTTTACTAACATTTTGGGCCCCATGAAAACATTTTCTTGAAAATACGACAACAAGTCTAAGGGAGGGATCGACGAGTATTGTTACACCGGCTGGTACCATGTTACCTTATTAATTTAGAAAAACAAACCTGTCGGTTCATTACTATTTAGTATTTTCATTATATTTTTTAGTTAGACGGTAAAAAAATCCAATTGTTGTACGTCAGTACTCAGTTGTTTCGCAAGTGCTAATGATTTTTTTTAGTATTGAAAAATTAAATATGATTATATGAACACATACCATTAATGTCAATTACACACAGGCATAATATGAGATAACTGAGATAAGTCCACCAAAATTATTCACTGGCTTCTGTCTCCTTTGGAAAATTAACACGCAGCAGCATTTAGAGGGGAGGCCACTGACATTTTCACATATTACACCTCGAAGTCTATCTAGGTTTTTAATGAATTTATTCGTAATTTGTTTACTCACAGTAAAAAACCTGTGGCTGAAGTAAAACCTACGAAGTCTGTTGTGCAACCACCTGCGCCACCAGCAGCACCAACAGTTGAAAGGAGGAGGTCCGTCGGAACGAATCTTAAAAAACGATCTAGTGAAACGGGACCAAATTTCACTCCGTTCAATGAACCTCAAAGAGCTCTACATTTGGTTTCTACTCAGATCAATAGCCCGGAATGGTTTGTACCTAGTGATGGAACTTACTAAAATATATATAATCACAACTTTGGCTGGTAGTGAAGGGAAGCATAGGCGCTTAGCTCCTCCAAATGAATGCCTATATAAGCCTCCTTTCTCAGAAGTAAAAATAAGAAATAAGAAAGCTTTTAGACCAACCCCATTCATTCCACAAAAAGATTAAGCACTTTATGGTTCTTGTATCTGGCTTAGGTATATACCTAAACATTGCATTTATTGTGTCATTGTTATTCGATTAACAAAGTATCTGATACGTTATGACAGGGAAGCGGCCGTCACGGGTCTACAGAATATTTCACGACTGTCCATGTTTCACAGTAAAGAACTGCGTCCGGGTTCCTTGCAGCCATTCGCTCGCAATGTAGCTAAACATATTAAATGTCTCCGATCTCAAGTGGCACGAGCCGCGTGTACGGCTGCGCAGAAAATGTTTTCCTACGTACCGAAATCAATGGAACCGGTAAGTCGACTACAACAACTAACGATCCGTCGAGGTAATAAACAGACAGTCAAATATTATTTGAAACCGAAACATTTTTGTCTGTAGGACGTTGAAGAAATCGCATCGGCACTGTTTCCGCGTACAGCCGACACCAATAAATTCCTTCGGGTGCAAAGTTCTGAAGCCTTAAATGCAATGGTCGACAACGTAAATCCCGTAAAATGCGTGCATGTTATCACAGCTAAAGGGATAAAGTGAGATTTGCCGCATCAGCTAAAACAAAATTGGGTATAATATAGAATAAAGAAAATAATTTTTACATATTTTAAATATTCTAGACACGGAAATCGAATGGTTCGTGCTGAAGCGTGCCGTCTCTTAGCGAGAGTGGTCGATAAACTCGGAGTCAGTGGAACTCTTCATTTACCAACAGATGCTAGAGATGCAGTGATAACTGCTGCCACTAGCATGGTATTTGACAACACGCCTACTTCTCGGTAAGTAATGAATCTCAACTATAACACTAATTATTGAATATTGAAATATTTTTCTTGTGTATTTAGTCAAGCCGCTCAACATATATTAAGCAGATTGAGCGAAGATCCGAGAGGTGTAGCATTAATATCATCAGCAGCTTCACCAAATGTAAAAGCAACATTAAATAAATCGTTGTCAAGAATATTTCTTAAATGAAATATTTTTTTGATCAACGAATTATTGGTTTGTTAAAATCAAATGAACATATTATTATATTTTAATCTATAACATTTTGTACGATATTCATAAAATATTTTTTTTTATTATTTTTATTTTGAATGGTAATATATATTTATTTACACAATTTTGTTTTTATATTTACATAATTTCGTAATTATTCATTGTTTTTTATGACTAAAATTAAAACAAAATAAATAATAAAGGAATACGGATAAGATATTAAAATAGTTACACAATATTGTTGGCAAATAACAAAATACTAATTAAATTGTATAAATTAAAATAAATAAAAACAAATTTTAAGTAAATAGTAATACATAATAATAAACATTTTTACTTAGTTTAATTTATGTGGCGGACTACAGCATTGTTTATAAACTTAAATTTAAAGTGTTCAATTATTGTTTATTGTAGTTTCGACCGCTCAATAGCAGTATTATGATCATCCTGAAAATATAAAAATTATGTTTTGGTCCGAATGCTATACATTAGTAAAATAAAATAAATTAAATATTAACCTCGCTATAATCCAAAATTGGTACAGTGCTAGAAGACAACAAATATAATATTAGTACAAATCTTTAGCTGAAACAAAATGTGAACAACTTACGTTTCATACAATGAACCTGGTATGTTTTCTTCAACCCATTTTAAATCATCGTCCTGTAGAATATTAATCAAAATTAATTTTTTTAATACAATACTATAAAAAATTAAATACATACAAGTTGTGTTTGACTTTTTGTGCTACTATTTGAAGCGGGATAGTCTTTGTAAGGTGTCACATTAGAATTATTGTGGTTGGATGTATTTGTAGTGGTTCTCATTTTAACATCTGAATAAATGTAATTAACATTGAAAAAAATCTTTATGAGTGTACAATAATAAATATTTTATACCACCATTATAAGTTTCTTTAATAAATAATTCGGTTTCATCTCTATCATCATCTGGAGCATCTAATAATGGAGTAAATGCATATCTATGTAACAAAACAAGTGTTAAGGTATTAATTATTGTTATATATTGAAAAAAAATTAAGAGTTAACCTTTGATTGTTATTAGTTGGTCTCCAAAGTATCATAATCACGAGTAAAATTATAGAAAACTCAATATGCCAGAATGCATCATCTAGCCATTGTTCTTTCCAATTCTATAAATATTGAAAAAATATTTATGTTTATTTTAAATAATTGAATACATTTATAAATTAACTTACACCACCACAATCTGACAATCGTTGTGTTTTTATAGAATACAACATGAACAAAGTTGAGGTCACAACGGTGAAACCAAGAACATTGGTAAAATGTGTATATAATTGGAGTTTAACCGCATTCCTTAAAATAAAATGTTTAAATAAATAAGCCTATATGTAATAAAAATCAGAAGTCAATGTGTCTGTTAAAAAAATAATCCCTATTAGAACTTCAATTTTTAACAATGTTTTCTGATATAAAGAGTTTGTTTTAGTCAATAACATCTTAAACCATGCAACAATGCTTTTTTTAATTTTTATTATAAGCTACTAATATAAACTTTGACAATTTGACAGATGTTATTGATCTAATATTGTATTTGACAATAATATTTACAATATATACCACATAATATTTATTAAATACCTCCGAAGTCTTAATGCCCTAGTTGTCTGAGTTAGGGCAGCAAATATCCAACAGACAATTCCAGAATCTAAAGCAGCTAATGGCAATTCAACTAATAAAATCTCTGCACTCATATTACTTGATAATCGAAAATAGGATTCCATTAATGACATTGCTAGATATAAAGTACTGACTCCTAAAACTTTTGGTAAAAGTGGACCTAATCTTGGCCTAAATAATAAAAAATATTCATATGCCATTAAAAATGATTATGATAAATTATTATTTTACCAAATACTTACTTGACAATACCAAACCCTAAGCTTACTATGATAACTAAAGTCCGTGCAAGTGTTCTTTTTAAACAAGAAATAACTTCCGCCATGGTCATTACTCCATAAATATTATCTAATTTCCCAGTAAGGTTCAGTTCGTGATATTCAGCATAAAAAGCTGCTTTTTCAACCATTCCTGAAATGTATTAGTTGGTAAATATTTGTATACTTTGAATTTATAATTGTTACAATTATTTACCTAGAAGAATGACAGCTCCAATCCAAAATTGTATTTGAAGCAAATCTCTCCATTGCATAAATAATAAAACCAACCAAGTTATACCAAAAAATATATAAACAAAACACATAAGGCCATAAAACTGAAAGATTGGTAAATTTGATTAAAAATGTATTCATGTACATTGTACAATGTACTTTGTTAAAATTAATTACATGTAACAATGGCCAATTTGTAGCTGATAAATAGCCATGTGGTCCTTTCATCAAAATTTCTATATTGGCAGTAAATTTGTCATCTTTTTTAACATATCTTGTATCTTGTTTAACTGTAGCTGTAAGTAAGTACACTCCGTCTGTTAAAACTGTATAAACTCGATGATTTGATCTCTATTTGTGAAATAAAACAAAGTCTGTCTTTACAAATCTTTTAAATAATCAGGCTAATTAGTTTAGTAATTTAGTTCACGTAAAAATTGAAAATATTCTCTATAAATATATTCTATATGACTTACAGTTTATGTTTTATTTTAAAGCTCATGCTATATTTATAGAACTTAACATTAAATTTAATCTGATGAAAATCACTTACTTGGTGTAGTGCTTGATTATTAGTTTTATTGGTCTCATATAATGAGAAATCATCCTACGATAAAAATTTTTAAAAAATGGTGTAAATTATTTACTGAAATATCATTTTTAGTAAGTTTAAATACCAAATCTACTCCACTGGCACATGAGTATATTTTTTCCAAAGTATTCACATGGTTCATGTATGTATTAGTGGTATTAAGATCGCTATTAATATCTTCTATTTGGAGTTTTCTTATGAGCTAAAAAAAAATAATTCCAAATGTAAGTTATAAGTTCTTTTTTTAAATTTAATATCATAAATGGTTGCTATTTATGATATTAAATTAAAAAAAAGAACTTACTCCGGGACCAAGGTTCAGGAAATCATTCCAACATTGGGGTTCTGTCAGGATCCAACCGACAGACACGTTGTACACATCGCTACAACTGACTACAACACAAATTAAAATTATAAAATTTGTTTACATCATACAACAGTAACATCAACACAATATGTATAAATTTACTTTTAATTGATATTTCTGTGCCTTTAAATAGACTGCCGACACAAAATTGTATACAATGGTCCTGCAAAAATAAAAATAAAAATAAATATATCGTCAAACTTTAGGAATTGCCGAATAAGTTGGCATAGTAAACACCTCACATTGTCCATAATGGAGGACCATGATCCTTCCCCGGGTCTCACGGCGTGACACGTAAACGCTATGAAAGTATAATACAACAAATAGATCGGGACATTTGACAACATTGAAAGAATGTCAAACAAAATTTTGTAATAGAAATTCGTATTAATTAAAATAAAAGAAATTGTTCGCAACGTTCGTCGTTCAAAAACAATAAATTCGCCATCAGTATGCTAAAATGTTTTAAAATTTAATGATGTAAATAAAATTATATCTTATCACTATTGATACTTATTCTATGATAGCGGTGTTTTATCTTAATAACACGTTAGCCAATAGATTTTTAGGATATTTCCCACCATATATTTAAACAAATCTTAGGATAAATAATATTGAATGAAATTTGAAATTATTAAAACTTAGGTAATGATTTTAGTGAATCGCGGAAATAATTCCAAAAACATAAACACACCACGAACAAAATGAAAACATAAATATGAACACATGTACACATAATCTATTGTGTTATAAATTGTTTTATATTGAGTCATTAGGTAATTAATGATATAATATAGAACCTACAGTCAAAAAACATAAGTCTTTGGTACATACTACATTTATGCAAGAATTGCAGAACTATAAAAGTAATAATATAATAAGTCAATACAAACCAGGTGGTAGGTACTATAGTATTAGTTCGTTGCTCAAGTTTAATGCTAGGGGAATGAATACACACAAATGAACTTACTATTTATCTTTTTTTTTGCACTCCTTAGTAACATCAGCTTCTAGGCCATTAGTTTTTATTTTTATTTAAGATTATTATCTGCTATCTATATAATGTAGGTAGGTACTATTAAGTATTATTGTATTAGCTTTTTCAAATAGTAATCGATGAAATATTTTAAACATATAAAATAGTACCTACAATTGTATGGCACTCGCATGGACTTTTATTTCTGCGGTGTGCGTAGTTTTTTGGGGTTTTTTTTCCGCCTACCAATCTTAGTATCTTACCTCTGGGTTTGATAATTTATTGGTCAATTCTATCTGCTATTAGAGCTAACAACACAAAATTAGAACTGCTGAACACAAATTTGTTATGTTGTTCACAGTCTATTTTGTAAGACTGAGACAACCACAGAAAAGAGAAAGTCAGATAGACCCATCTTATTAGAGGTATACTACCGAAAAGTCCTAGGACAAAAAGTTCGAGTAAAAAGTTCCGTGGTTTAAAACTCAGAAGTATAAAACGTCAACGGTAAAAAGGTCTGAAACATAAAAAGTGAGTGGGGAAAGAGTCTTGTACATATAGTTACATAATTGGAAAAATACAATGCACAATCAATCTTCCAATTGGTATTGATATCAATTGCAACTAAATGATTTACCTGATGAAATTAATAGATAATCATTCAATTACAATAAAAGAATTTTTAGAAAAAGTTGGTTATTATACTTGAGCCGAGATTTAGATAAACATAATAATGATTGCATTTTTTTTTTAAATATATTATTTTTTTTACGATGGTTAAATATAATTATAATTTATGTATTTATATATATATCTGACTTTTTATGCTTAGTACTTATCTACTAAGGACATTTTATCCTAGAATTTTTTTACCGTGATTCTTTATTAGAATGGTTACGGAGATCTCGATGACCCGTGATCTATTTGTCAGTTTACCCTAATTATTTATTAAATATCTAAATATTCGGTTTGATAGTCTTAAAACGGTTTATAATGGATATAA